TTTCCTGGCTGGGGGAGGAGGATGAGGAAGGCAGGCTTTAGCTAGTGACCAGCCTCTCATGTGGAAGCTGAGGAGGGCTCCCAAGAGGGCTCATCCTTTCCCGCCTCCCTGGACCACTTGGTACAGTGATTCTCAAAGTTGGGGCTCTCCTAGCATCTGATCTCCATTTCACTTCCCTCTGAGCATCTCTTCTTGTGTGAAGACTGATTTCCCAGGCATGGTGGTGCATGTAATCCTAGCTACTTACTTTGGACACTAAATCAGGAGGAATGAAAGTTCCTGGCCAGTCTGAGCAACTTAGCAAGACCTTGTTTCAAAATAAAATTTTAAAGATTGGGATGAAGCTGGGTAGGTAGCACACCCAGGAGGCTGAGACAGGAAGATTGCCATGAGTTCAAGGCCAACCTGTGCTACATAGTGACTTCAAGACCAGCCTAACCTACATAGTGAGCCCATCTCAAAAAACCAAACAAAACAAAAAGCCTGGGGGTGCAACTCAGTGGTAGAATGCTTGCTTAGCAGGCGTGAGGCTCCAGGTCCCATCTCCAGTCCTGCAGATATAAAAATAAAGACAATGGTCACACTGACTTTGTTACTTGTATGCATTGCCAGGAAAACACATCTTGCTGGGCAGCAGAGGGAGAAAAAGGAGGGGGAGATAAAAACCAGGACTAAGGGAAGGACACAGGCTCATTTTCAGATTCTCTGACCACTGCCTGCAGGAATGCTGAGTTGTATCTCCTCCTCCTATCCCATGATGACATTTGGGCCCAACCTAGAATTTTCTGGATTCATTAGGGTACATACTTTGTGTGTGTGTGTGTGTGTGTGTGTGTGTGTGTGTGTGGTGCTGGGGATTGAACTCACGACCTTGTGCTTGCCAGGCAGGCTCTTATGCCACTGAGCTAAATCCCTGGCGCCTAGGGTACATACTTTTTTTAAAAATTAATTGAATTGATCTAATATTTATTATTTATTTATTGTATTTTGGTATTTTTGAGACAGGGTCCCAGTATGTAGTTCAGGCTGGCTTTGAACTCACTGTGTAGCTCAGTAGTACGGTGGGTGTTTAGCATGCATAAGGCCCTACATTAGATTCCCAACACTTTGATTTCCAATCCCAGTAAAAAGTTCTTACTTGCTAAGCTTGGCCCAGATTAAAGGACCAACACTGAACAGAGAAATGCTTTGCACCACCTCCTCCTCCTCTGTGGCTTTCTCCTTTGCAGAGGGAGGAGCAGGGCCACTGTATTTGTAGCCCCCAGAGTTCCCTGGGGTGGCAACACCAAAGCTGCCTGCACATAGAGGCTTCCTCCTTGGAGCCCTTGAATCCCACAGACTCTTACCTGCTTGTGTGACCCTATCTCCAGACACTGTTTCCTTCAGTTAGAGAGGCCGGGAAGGCAGGTGAACAGAACAACTCCCAGGAAGGGATGCTGGTGTGTCTGGAGCCCTTTTTCCTGGGAGGCTTCTGCCACCATCTTTGATTAGTGGCATCCTTCCTGGGCAGAGAAGGGGAAAGCCACCCCTGGTGTTCTGCCTGGCTTTTCTACATGTTGCCACCTCCTGTCATGTAGCTGGGGCAGGTAAAGGCTTCAGGGTGGGTCTGCAACTTTGGGTGGCACTCCGAGACCTTATGTTTAGGCTTTGGAGTGAAGCTGTTATCCTGAGATACAGCTGATTCCAAAAAAATCATCAAATATAATAAACTTGCAATCTGCTCATCTCTCCAACTGTTCTTCATCAGATGTACTCACTATTTATTTGGTCCCTACTCCTCACTTCTTATGCTGTTGAATTGTTGAAATCAGAAGCAGAATTTTAGCCAGGCTTGGTGGTACACATCTGTAATCCCAGCCAGCACTCAGGAAGCTGGCTGAAGTGCCATACATTCGAGGTCACCCTGGACTACACAGTGAGTTCAAAGCCAACCTACACTATTATCGAGAGACCCTGTCACAAAAAAACTGAAAAAAAGGAGCATAATTTTCTGTTTATTGCTATTAAATGTCATTTGATTCACTTTTTCCCTAGTCTGTCAAAATCTAACTCAAGTTTTTGACTAATCTGTAGATTTGATAAACATAGCTTCTATGTTTCATTCAAGGCTTTGCTATCAGGGCCAAGTGTTAGAAGTCGCTGAGCTAGTGATCATTCATACGTACTGAGCCAAAAACACAAGTGCCTGAACAGGAGTGCCCCAAGGGTATGGAGCACCTTAGAAATGCCCTCAGGGCATGGAGTGGTGGGGGTGAACAGGTGCTCTAGCCCCGAAAACACAGGCATTAAGAAGTGAGCCAGTGGGGCTGGGGATTTAGCTCAGCAGCATAAGTGCCTGCCTTGCAAGCAGGCAGTCGTGAGTTTGATCCCCAGTACCGATAAAAAAGGAAAAAGACAAAAAAAAAAAAAAAAAAGCAAGTTAATTAAGCAAAGGGGAGTGGTATGACAACTTTATAAATAAACACACTGCTCATATTGTTGAGAATCTCTTCCTCCCGTCTGGAGAAGGGCTTCATCTGACCTCAGCTTTCTGTCTCTTTTATTTTCTTCATCCTCTCCCCATTCTTCCCTATCTTTCCCCCTGGGACTTTAGAGGGCTCCAGCGGACAGCCAAGGACAGAATGGACTCAAGATACCCCGTGGAGCCCTCAGCCCACTCATAGCCATCACTGGGGATGGCTGCTGAGCTGCCCCTACATTCCCAGTGTAGAGCCATAAGGCCCAGCTGTCCCACGCCCAGGGCAGGACAGGAGAGGCAGCCAAAGGCCTCACAAGAATCCTGGCACCCTATGCAATGGCTAAGAGAAGTGCGCTTGGCCCACCTGGTCTCCATGGAGCTCCCCTGGTGCCCAGGGAAGAGTCACATTTTCCTCCAAGCTTCACAGAGGGTTATATGCCTCTATCCCGGCAAGCATGGACATCAGCAGCAGCAGAGTTCAGTTGCTGGAAGCCATGCCTCTGGAACAGCAGCACCCACATACTTCCCACATTCTGGACCCTCTCCACCCCTTGTGATCCCCAAAGCCTACTCAGAATGGTCCATGGGCAGGGGAGTTCTCTAGCTGCATAGGTCTCCTTGTGATGGTTCTCAGAACGGGCACAAAGACCTTAAGCATCCCAGGCACATAAGATTGATGCTCAGGAAACACATGTAGGGTGTGCCGACCTTTATCTAACAGTTAGCTAGGCTCTATAGGAGAATTCAGTGACTGTCCCATGGAGTTTGGCTAGAATATCCCACACAAAACCCCTGCTTTGCATTTGACACAGAGCCAACTGGGTCCCTTAGGCATTGTCACTGTAGGTGTCTCAGGGAGGGGCAGCCATAAGCAGGAATTTGCTCTCTTAAGGTCCCTCCGTCTCATCCCCCTCTCCTTCCCTGTCCCACTTTTCCTTTATGTACCCCAGACCTCATGGGTCCCTCCCTACTGAACTCAAGGATTACCCCCTCCACCAAGTTCCCAAACCCTTCCCTCCTCTGTGAGTTCTCTGCTTCCAGAGCAAAAAGATTAAGGATTAATTTAGATTAAGTCAGATAACGTTAGAAAAAAGATTTGGCACTGCACATGGTGGTGCTTACTTGTAGTACCAGTACTGTGGGAGGCTGAGGCAGAAGGATCACAAGTTAAAGCGTTAAAGCCCAGGCTGGGCAATTAAGAGATTTAGTCCTGTCTCAAAGATGGCTAGGGACGTAGCTCAGCGCGAAATTTTCCCTTAATGCTAAGGGGAAAAAACTGATACTCAGAGGCATGCACTTGGAAGCTGTGAAGTTGAAGCAGGTGAACTTCAAGTTTGAACCTAACTTAATTTAGCCAGAACCTGGCTTAAAATACCAATAAACAAATAACAAGAAAAGGACTGTTTCCTTCCTCCTACGTCTTCCGTTTCTGAATCATTTGTACGCCACCAGGGGGCGCCCTCTCCCCCAATTCAGCGAATAGATGGGTGTGGCGCTCTTCTCTGGCCTTGGAAAACTAACTTCCATTTTTTAAAAAATGTTTTTTGTGGGGAAGGGTGGTGGTGTGGAGCTCTAGGCCAGCACAAAGGTGAACAAGGCCTCTATCGCTGGGCTGCACACCGGCCCAGGAGTGCTTCCTTGTTACAGGAAGGTTGGGCCTGGGCCATCTTTTCTTGTTCTCCTTGTCCTGGGACAAGTCAGGTGCTGGTGAGCGCCCACGTGCTGGGTCCCCACTACTTTGTCCTTCGGACCTTCCAGGTTGTGTCTCTCTTGCTGTCCCTGCTGGGACTACCTCTCCAGGGTGCGCATTCGTTATTTACAAAAATGCCCGTGGCTTTCATCACTCCCATTAGTGGGTGGAGAAACTAAGTCTTAGAGGATTTTTGTGTAACTGAGACTCACAACTCCGCACACACACAGGTCCAGTTCAGTGCCTTTCTTTTCTCCTTCTTCTTCTTCTTCTTCTTCTTCTTCTTCTTCTTCTTCTTCTTCTTCTTCTTCTTCTTCTTCTTCTTTCTCTTCTTCTTCTTCTTTCTCTTCTTCTTCTTCTTCTTTCTCTTCTTCTTCTTCTTCTTCTTTCTCTTCTTCTTCTTCTTCTTCTTCTTCTTTCTCTTCCTCCTCCTCCTCCTCCTCTTCTTCTTCTCCTTCTCCTCCTCCTCCTCCTCCTCCTTCTCCTCCTTCTTCCCCTACGCCTTCCCCTCCTCCTTCTGCTCCTCCTCCTCCTCTTTTCTTCTTCTCCTTGAGTGAGCTACATTCCTAGCCCCCTGCCTCCTTTTCTGAGACAAGGTCTTCCTAAATTACCCAGGCCAGGCCCCAACTTGTGACCCCTCCTGCCTTACTCTTGTGAATGCTGGGATCACAGGTGTGCGTGCACCGCCACGCCCGGCTGAGTTCTTTGGTTTAGCGGGTTCTGGGTTCTTGTGCAGTTCCGCTTGCCTAAGCGATGGGAACCCAGGAACGGAGCTGCCCCTCCCAGGCTCTAACGGGTTAAGCCTAGGCCCGCCCCTCGCCTCCCGGCTGGCGGGAGTATGAATAGCCTCGCTCCGACCCGGGCTCAGATGCTCGGCTGCTCCGCCTAGTCATTGTCCCCGCAGGTCTCTTCTCTGCGGCCCAAAGTTACGAGTGCCTCTGCTTTTTCCAGGCGTCTGGCGTCCATCTGCCCTTGGCGATCCATCGAGCAGCATGGACGGCTGCGTAGGAGAGGAGTCCTTTCAGCTGTGGGAGCTCAACCGGCGCCTGGAGGCCTACCTGGCCCGAGTCAAGGCGCTGGAGGAGCAGAACGCGCAGCTGAGCGCGGAGCTAGGGGGCCTCCGGTCACAGTCCGGCGACACTTCCTGGCGGGCCGGAGCGGACGGCAAGCTGGCTGCCTTGCGCGCCCTGGTGGACCAGCGCTGGCGGGAGAAGCATGCGGCTGAGGTGCAGCGCGACAGCCTGGCGGACGAGTTGGAAGGTGTGGCGGGCCGGTGCCAGCAGCTGCGGATGGCCCGGGAACGCTCGGTCGAGGAGGCTGCGCGCAGCCGGCGCGCGGTGGAGGCCGAGCAGCGGGCCCGGGACTGGCTGAGCGCTCAAGCGGCAGATCTGGAGCGCGAGCTAGAGGCGCTGCGCGCGGCGCACGAGGAAGAGCGCGCCAGTCTGCACGCGCAGGTAGCTTGCACACCCCGCCGCCCTGCGCCACCCCGCGGACCCCCCGCGCCAGCCCCGGAGGTGGAGGAGCTGGCCCGACGGCTGGGCGAGGCGTGGCGCGGTGCAGTGCGCGGCTACCAGGAGCGCGTGGCGCACCTGGAGTCGTCGCTGGGCCAGGCCCGAGAGAGGCTGGGACGCGCGATGCAGGGCGCCCGGGAAGGACGCCTGGAGCTGCAGCAGCTCCGCGCCGAGCGCGGCGGCCTCCAGGAGCGCAGGGCAGCGTTGGAGCAGAGGCTGGAGGACCGCTGGCAAGAGCGGCTGCGAGCCACCGAAAAGTTCCAGGTGAGGATGTGTCGGGCCTGGCTGCAACCGGGCACCAGGATACTTTATGGGAAAGGACTTTCCATTCAGGAGCCTCTGCTCAGAACTCCCAGCCCAGGGCCCAAAGCCCTGGACTTTCACACCTGGTCCAGGGCAGGTGGGTAGGATGGGGTCCCGCCCAGCATGTACAGCCCCTGACGCCCTCCGTGCACCTGCCGGTCCTGAAAAGGCCCTCCCTAGGCTCCTGTAACTCAGAACTGCCCAGCGCTTGCTTGTTCAGGGCTTGGTCACTCTGAATCTCCAAGTCTCTACCAGTTGTCCAGGGCGGAGAGACAACTGGTTAGATGGCCCCATTAGATGAATGGCCCCCAGCCCCCGTTCCAGGTCATGGCTGCCCACTCCCTGGAGCATATTTCAGAGGCCTGGGACAGCTGTTGTCCTTCATACTGTGCAGATGTGACCCAACAGCTGAGAAAATAGCTTCCTGACAGGGCCAGACAGAGGTCTTGCTGAGGCCCCTCCCCACTGCCCTCCTTAGAGGAATATTCCAGAACTTAGCTGTGGGGGGATGTGGGAGGTGTGAGGAGACAAGGAAGGGACTGGGCTGTTTGGCTTCCTGGCTCTTGATTAATGGTTTTTCCTTCTGCTTCCACTTTCTCCCTCTCCTTTCTGTAACCCATCTCCTCTCCTCCCTTACCTCCCCCTTCCTGTGGGAGCTGAATGCTCAGCAGCATATGCAACTGTTTAATCAGCATCCCAAAGAGCAGCAAGGCTGTGTGGGAGAGGGCTGAGAGGGCCCCTGTTCTCATCTGGGGACCTGGCAGAGGCTCCCCAGGCAAGGAGGGGTCCGGGAAGCAGGGGCCCAGCCTGTTGGACAAACAAGTCAATAAGGAGCAGGGGGATATTGCCAGGCCCAGGAGGGTCCCCCTGTGGTTTTTACTGACCATTTGGCTTGCCCTGCAGCTGGCCGTGGAGGCTCTGGAGCAGGAGAAGCAGGGCCTGCAGAACCAGATCGCCCAAGTCCTGGAGGGCCGGCAGCAGCTGGCACACCTCAAGATGTCTCTCAGCCTGGAGGTGGCCACATACAGGTATGGCCTGAAGCCAGCCTACCCATCAAACACAGTTGTACATACACATGTGGGGCAGAGGTTCTGCCGCTGAAGGGGCCTGGAGGCATAGGTAGTTGCAACTCTGCCACCACTGGCTTTTGTGACTAAACTGGTCACTTCCACACAAGGACACATTTCATCTGTACCCACCTTGGCTTCATGACAAGAGAAGAAAGTGTCCCTTTCCTAGGAAGTCCTTCAAGGAGCAGTGACATTGCTGAGTGTGGCAGTTTCAGGAGAGGGGTGCACATATATCAAAAATAGGGTGTCTGCATCCAACCCTTTCCCCTAAGGGACTGAGAACCTGCAGCCTGTGTGTGCACACACCCAGGGGTGATAACGGTGGGCATCCTTTAAGGTTGGCCAACCTTGCAGGTCTGAGTGGTCACACTGACTTGCCCCCTGGCAACAGCCCTGTCTAGGTTGAGAGTTGACTTTATGACTTCCACAGCCCCTTCTAACCTGACATCATGGGGCCAGATTCCTCTCCAGACTTTTGGTTCTGCCCACTCACCGATTGCCTTTCCTGCTGCTTCTCACTGACTACATGGCCTCAGCAAAGTTCTCTCTCTTCTGGGACACTGGGCTGAGTGTCCACCAATGAAGCCCAAGAAAGGGGCTTTGAAACTCGGAGGGCTGAGTACACCAAGCCGCAGGACAGCAGTTGTGGCAAGACCTGCTATTAGGAGAGGGCCTCTCCTTAAGATTCGTGCAGAAAAGGCAGAGGGCATAGAAACAAAGACCTCTGTGCCCTGTTGGGCCTCCAAGACAGGGTGGTAACCCCAATCAAACCAAGGAGAGAGGAGAGGAGGCTCTGGGCAGGTCCTGAGGAATGTCATCACTGGGTTGTGTGGCATGCAAAGGATTTGGAGAGAGGGGACTGAATTCATTTGCTTTTGTCTGTCACCAGCTCTGGGGGCCCTGGGGGAAAGTGGAGGGGGCCCATCCCATGGGAACAGCCAGAGAATTCCCATTTCCCTTAGTAGCCTCCTTCCCAGACCCTCCAGATGGCGGTGTGGACAAAGGCAGTGATTAGCATGAAAATCAGCCCCCCACCCAAGGATGAGGTCATTGGGCTGGGTGGGGGAGGAGACTAGACTAAGCTTGTGTGTGTGTTTGTGTGCCGCTGATGGTACTGCATCTGACTGTGTGGGAATTGCAGTGTGTCTGTGAGGTCCCCAAGTGTGCCATTGACTTTGTGTGATGTCTGTGAGTATGTGACTGTGATTTCAGCATGCATGTAGCTTTGTGTAATCTTGGTGAAAATGCAGTGGGTGGAAAAATGTAGAGAGAGCCTGCTGAGCCAGGATGTGCAGTGAGTTCCTGAGCTTGCCCCTGCTGGCCCTGAGCCAAAGGCTAACCCAGCTGTCCTCCCTCCCCCCCAGGACCCTCCTAGAGGCTGAGAACTCCCGGCTGCAGACACCTGGTGGCAGTCCCAAGACTTTTCTCAGCTTCCAGGGTAAGAGGAAAGGCCAAGTGCCCTGAAACTCTCCCTTTGCCCTTCAGCCCAGACAGACCTTTCCTGAGAGGCATCAATCTAAGTCTTTAACTCCTTGACCCCCAACAACACTGAACACACTCAGCCTGGGCTGTAGGGAGTCAGGGAAGCACCTTTGGACACTCCTGCTAGAAGTGAGTCCTGCTTGGCTCTCCACCCCACCCAGGCCAGCACCCACTGACATTGTCTCCTCCGCCTCTGCCTTTCCAGACCCCAAGCTGGAGCTGCATTTCCCTGTGATCCCAGAGGGTCAGCATCTGGGACCTGTCCTCAGCCCAACTTCCTTCCGCTCCCCCTTGCCTAACATGCTCCAGATACCTGTGCCAGCCTTTCTGAAGAGCCAGGAATTCCTCCAGGCCCGTACCCCCACCTTAGCCAGCACCCCTATTCCACCCACACCTCAGGCTGCCTGTCCTGCCGCAATTGCAGAGGCCAGAGCCCAGGATGACCCTTGCTCCCTGCTACCACCGCAGAGTGGAAGGCAGCAGGCTCCAGAGCCACTGTGGGCTGAAGCCCAGGAAGCAACCACTGCTGGCATCCTTCCAGGACCGGAGGAACCTGGTAGCAAGCAGCAAGAGGCCAGTCCAGGCCAGTCCCCTGAAGACCAGGCTTCCTTGACCCAACTCCTCAGCCCTGACCAGCCCAGTGTAGAGGCAAAAGACAGAGAACTGAGGTGGTCCAGAACATCTAGCGTATCCCAGGAGGAAGGTAAGGAGCAGATGCGGGGACTGGTAGAGAAAGAAACAACCATAGAGGTCCAAGTAGTGAGCAGCTTGCAACAGCAAACATGGCAAGAAGGAGAAGACCTGGACATGAAGGAAATCCAGGACTCCCAGGGGCCTCTGGAAAAAGAAACCCTGAAGGTTCTGGGAGAGGAGATTCAACAGCCACTGATGCCTCTGGAGAATCAAAGCCATGAGGCCCAAGAGAAAGAAGATCAGGAATTTCTGAAGTCTTTAGAAGATGAGAACCTAGAAACACTAAGTCTAGAAAAAGAAAATCAAGAAGTAAGGTCTTTCGAAGAAAAAGACATGGATGCAGAGAGACCTCTAGAAAAGGAAATCACTGAATTACCTGAGTCTACAGGAAAAGAGAATTCACAGAGATTGCAATCCTTGGAAAAGGAACACCAAGATAGTCTAGAGACTGTTTTATTTCCAGGAAAGGGAAATCAAGAACTAGTGAGATCTCTAAAAGAGGAGAACTTAGAAGAGGCACTGAGAATGTGTGAAAAGGAGACCCAAAAGCCACTGAGCTCTCAAGAAGTAGAGGACCAGGAGATGTGGAAATCTCTACCAGATGAGAATCAGGAGTCCCTGAAGTATCTTGAAGATGAGACCTCTAAAGACAATCAAGAGCCACTGACCTTTTTAGAAGAGAATGGAAAGACTGTGAAACCTTTAGAAAAAGAGAAACAGGAGTTACTGAAGTCTCTAGAGGAAGAGGATAAGAAATTTGTGAGAACTCTAGAAAAAGAGGATCAGGAGTCTCTAAGGTCTCTGGAAACAGCAGACCAAGGGAATGTGGGAGCTCTAGAAAAAGAGAATCAGGAGTCCCTGAGGTCTCTAGAAGAGGAAGAAGAGAAGGCTATGAGACCTTCAGAAAAAGAGAGTCTGGAACAGCTGAAGTATGTAGAAGAAGATGAGAATACTGTGAGACCTCTAGAAAAAGAGAAGCAGGAACCACTGGGATCTCTAGAAGACCAGAAGACCATGAGACCGCTAGAAAAAGAAAATGAGGAGCGATTGTGGAGTCTAGAAGAGGGCCAGAAGAATGTGAGGCCTCTAGAAAAAGAGAAGCAGGAACCATGGAAGTCTCTGGAAGAACAGGATCAAAAGATCATGAGGCCTCTAGAAAAAGGTGATCAGGAGCTGCTGAACTCTCTAGAAGAAGACCAAGAGACACTGCAAACTCTTGAAAAAGAGACTCAGCAGTCACTGAGAGCTCCAGGGGAAGAAGGCCAAATGACAATGAGACTGCTAGAAAAGATGAATCCAGAGCCACTGAAATCTCTTGGAAATGAACAGGAGACAGTTCGATCTCTTGAAAAAGAGGATCAGGAGTTATTCAAGTCCCTGAAAGGTGAGAGTACAGAGGCAGTAAGATCTTCAGACATACAAAACCTAGAGTCACTGAAGTCTGCAGAAGAAGACCTAGAAATGCTAAAGTCTCCGGAAGCTGAAGAGTCATTGCAGTCTCTAGAAAAAAGGAATAGGGAGACAGTGAAACCTTTAGAAAAGGAAATGCAAGAAACACTGGGGTCTGTGGAAGAAAATCAAGAGATGCTAAGCCCTCAAGAGAAAGAGAAACAAGAAAGACTGAGACCTGTAGGTGAGTGGAACTTACAGAACTTGAGGTCTCCAGAGGAGGCAGGGAAGGAAGTTCACAAAGATCTGGAAACGGAAGGGAGCCTGCTGAATGGGGAGAATCAAGAGTTACTGAGGTCTCTGAAAGACACACAGGAATTACCTCTGTCTGAAAATCAGCAGATATGGGAGGATATAGCCATGGAGGATCAAGATCTGGCTCAGGAAGCCCCATCTAGCAGGGAGGAGGTGGGAGATGAGGGTGAGGCAGAGCTGGGCCTGAGGGAGCAGGATGGGAATTCAGCAGCAGAGGCCTGGAGCATCGGTACCCCTGAGCCCAAAGAGCAAAGGGACTCAGCTGAGGGAGCCAATAGGTATGGAAATGCTGAGGGCCCCCAGGACCTTCAAGGGCCACCAGAGGAAGTGGGGGCCCCAGGCCTCGGAGCTTCCCAGGAAATGGCAGAGGTGGCAGAGCCCCGGCAGGAAGATGAGGATGAAGGCCCAGAGAGTGGCCAAGGTTCTCTAGGGGTCACCTGGGAGTCAGAGACAGTCAAGAGCCTGTCTGCTGCAGGAGCTGAGCTGGGTCTGGAACAGGGGGTAGGAGAGCTGGAGGACCAGAAGGATCTGGCACACTCTGCCCTCCAGGAGACAGGGCAGTCACCCCCAGTGGAGGACAATTTGGAGGCAGAGAGCGCTCAGGGCTTGGAAGGGTCTGGGCAGGATCACATGGAGTCAGCACTCTCTGACCCGCCCAGCAGGAGCATGAACCTTGGGGAGCCTCCCAAGGGCTGGGAGGAGCTAGAGCCTGAAGCTAGTGTGGGAACGGAGGAGGTGTCCCCCAGTGATGCCCCTCAGCCCAGGCCCTTGGGATCAGAGGATGCCCAAGATGCACAACCAGTGCTGGGGCCCACTGAACCTCATGCACCCACCCTAATTGTGGAAGAGTCCTCTGGGACCCAGCTCCAGAATGAGGCGGGCCAGGAGGCTGGCTGGGGGCTCAAAGGGAGGACTGAAGTCTTGGGAAAGGTAGAGGGTGAGCAGGAGGAGCTTGGTCCTGAGGAGATTTCTGAGGACCTCCAGGAGGAGGAAGAGGAGAGCAGAGCAGAAAGTGAGGCGGATGAGCTTGGGGAAACCTTGCCTGACTCCACTCCCCTGAGCCTGTACCTCAGGTCGCCCTCATCCCCTGGGTGGGACATGGCAGGAGAAGAGAGACCCTCCCCTCAGGGGGAGGCCAGGAAAGAGGGCTGTGATCCTGCTGTCCCTGGCCCACCCTCAGAAGAGGAGGATGGGGAGGACGATCGTGGTCAGGACTCTGACTTATCGGATGAATTTGAAGATCTAGAGACAGAGGCTTCTCTTCCTGGGCGCCCCAAGAATGTGGTAGAACCTCTAGGCCAAGTGGCTCAACTGCTGGAGCCTGCAGTCTGGGATCGGGATGGGGAGTCTGATGGGTTTGCAGATGAAGAGAGTGGGGAAGAGGCAGAGGAGGAGGGGGAGGAGGGGCAGGAGCCAGGGGCTTTGCAGTGGGGGCCAGGGTCCTCTGTGGGAAGCCTGCAGACCCTGAGTAGCTCTCAGAGAGAGGCACTCCTGGCACCTGAACCCCTGGGCATCAATGTTCCCTGGAATGACAGCTTGCAGGGGGCTATGGTTGATGTCCCTGTGACTGCCCCAGAGATCGAATCCCAGGATAGTGCTGAGCCTTCTGGCTCAGAGGAGTCTGACTCTGCTCCCTGGGAGGAGGATCAAGTCCCTGGTCCTTTGGAGACTGTGGAGGACACAGGCCCAGGGGATAACCACAGTATCAATGGGGATCCAAACTTGGAAGAAAAGTCAGAGAACACAAGTGGGAGGGCAATGAATGGGCTAGAGCAGTCCAGGGGAGAGGGGCATGGAACCCCAGAGCCCCCCAATGGGGATCAAGGGGCCTCCTCACAGGTGGAGGAAGGGGTTGCCCTGAAGACGCCTTGGGCAGGGGCTCCTGTGCACCTAGGCCCAAGCCAGTTCCTAAAGTTCAATCTGAGGGAAGGAGATGGAGACTCCTGGTCCTCTGGGGAAGACTAGAGCAAGCTCCTAGACACAGGATCTGGGGGAGCTGTCCCCAGAACACCCCCTTCCAGAGTTGACACCCTTAACTTGTGATCTCTTGACCCATGGTTTCATCTGAGAGGGAGAAGCTTGGCTGGCTAAGGAGGAATGGCATGTGGCAAAAGAGCTATTCTAAGATTGGAGGTTCTAGGAACAAAACCTTGGACTCTGCCTGAGGGCAGCATGCTTCCGTCAACCCAGAGGCTAATGCAATGGAACCCCTGTAGTACCAGGCTCCCTTTCCTCTACTCTCCATCACTGGGAAAAGTCTAGGCAGTGTTCTCTCTGCTGGGGGAGGGTCCACCCTTGGGGAGGTCTGGCCTGTGGCTAATGGAGGTGAAGGGTGTACCCCGTGTCCTGACCCCCTTGTCTTAGCCATGTAGTGGCCTTGTCTGGCTCATCCATGCTTGAATAAATTCATGCCTCTGCCTACAGAAGTCTGGACTCTTTCTTCCTGCACTCAGATTCAGGACCCTCCTCAGGTCAGCACAGAAGCGGAATAAGGGAACCAGTATAGAAGGGGATGCCCCCTGGGGCACCACAGAGGAACAAGGGTGGACTAGGGGGGCCAACCCAGGTGACCTTGGTGCCTGCAGAAGGGCTAGAATCTAGTCCCATCATCATCTACCCACATCGCTGATTACAGGGGAGCCAGGCTTTGGGCCGCCCCTACCCTCACATGACCTCATTGTCGCCAGAATAATAAGCTCCCTTGTCTCCAAACCCAAACAGTTGTCTGGCTTGTGATGACTGACTGGAGAGCGTGGGGGTCCAGGTCAGAGAGGGGTCCAGGGGTCTGTTTGTAGCCTCAGGTCAGCATAACTGCTGGGAGGGAGGGTGGGCAGGACGAGCTGGTGGCCTTGAGAGCAGGCTGGGTGAGGGAGAGTCTCTAGCTCCTCTAGACCATGAAGGTGAACCCACAACAGGCCTGTTACTGTTTTTCTTTTAAGACAAAAGTTGCTAGGGTATGTATCTGTACTCAGTTTAATTGTAGACAAATAAATGGGCTTGGGCTTGCAGTTGGGTTGGGCACTCATCTCTAAAAGGTTCGCTAGATCTTCCTCAGATCTGAATAGGATTTTCTTCATGGCAGACACAGGAGCAGGGAGGAAAGGGACAGGGAGGTGTCAGATGGGAGCGTGGAGTGAGGGGTCTCTGTGTGAAAGGCCAACAGACTCTGCACTCCTGCCCCAGGCCTCTACTTCTCTCCCCTTCCCCGCTTCCCAGGAGGTCTGGGGTCCCTGTGAAGGACAAGGTTGAAGAAATCCTGTGGGAGGTGGGGCCTGAGGTTTTGAATTGAGGACGCACAAATAGAAACCACTCCTCTGCAGGCTCTGCAGGGAAAAAGAGCTGGAGGAGGGGGTGGCTGGTGATTTAGCTCAGTGGCATAAGTGCCTGCCTTGCAAGCAAGCAGTCTTGAGTTCAATCCCTGGTACCGATAAGAAAAAGAGCTGGAGACCCCTAGATATCCCAGAGGGTGGGAGGGGCTGCCAAGCAGTGTTCTACACTGGGGACTGGTGGTAAGAGGCCGGTGCAGGGTGAGGGGGACCCATCAGACCCCCAGATACCTGGGGGGAGAAGGGTAGGGAATAAGGAAAGACAAAAGACAATTCTTTTTGGTATAAGAGAGGATCAGAGGAGTTCACCTCTAGTGGACTGACTGATCGATCTCTCTAGTGTTGCCAGTTTGTATTAGTAACTAAGAAACAGAAGAAGTAAAGGTTCTTCCCCTGGATGCCTGTGTTTTGTGTAGATATTACCTTGTCTTAAGAGGCTGTAAATATGAGCTTCCTAACAAGGCCAGAGAGCATGTAGCTATTTGTAAACTCACTGTCCCTTGCACGGACCACAGGACCACTGTCACAGAGCCTGGTCCCTAATGTAGTAAAAGATTATTTTATATCTTCTGGTCTCCAACAGCTGGGAGCAAGCTCTTCCTCTCTGTGGGCTGGGGTGGGTTAAACTAAGGAGAGAGAATTGGGGCTCCTCTGGCTCCATGCCTGTTCTCTGGCCAGGGTACCTGGGCGCTGTCCCACACCCGCCCCAGAGATCCGGAACCTTCTGGCAGCCCAGTCCTCCACTCTCCCCTTCCTATACTCACTGCTAACAAGGCCCTTTCTGATCGCACTAGGCTTTGAGGCATGCAGGCCAGTAAGGCCCATTTCTGGCTTCTTTAATGGGACGGAAGCACCCAGGCCTTGGGCGAGGGCCGAAAACAGAGGCTGAGTCAAGTAGTCATTCTCTGTGCCGGCTGACCTTCCTGCCTCCACACAGAGCCCACGCCCGTCACAGCATCACCCAAACTGGCCATTGCTGTCAGTAATCCAAAATAGAGGGATGTAAATTAGACAGAAGAGGACTTAAAAAAAAAAAAAAAACAAAACTATTGTGGTACTGGGGGTTGAACTCAGAGCCTTTGTACTATGGTACATCCTGAGCCCATTTTATTTTTATTTTTTAAATTTTGAGACAAAGTCTCATTAAATTGCTAAGTCGTCCGGGTTGGGCTCAAACATGTGATGCTCCTGTCTCAATCTCCCAGAGTGCTAGAATTACAGACCAGTGCTACAACCCAGGCTCAGGAGTGAGGATATTCTTAAAGTGGGTGTACAGTACAGTAGATGTGGTAGCCTTAGAAGTGGTAAACCTTCCATGCAGCAAGAGTATATTCCTGGTTGTCAGAAGAGGAGCGATTGCCATTTTTCTTTTTTCTTTCTTTCTTTCTTTTTTTTTTTTTTTTTTTTTTTGCGGTACCAAGGATCGAACTCATGACCTTGTGCTTGCCAGGCAGGCACTTATGCCACTGAGCTAAATCCCCAGCCCAACAATTGCCATTTTTCAACAGCTAATTTTTTTTTGAGATAAGGACTCATTATGAAGCTGACCTCAAAGTCATGGCCATCTTTCTGCCTCAGCCTTCCAAGTGCTGTGATTATAGGCATGTGCAACCATGCCTGCCCCTCCAACAGCTGTTTACTAAGCATCTACTATGTGTCATGTACTAAGTGAGCCTTAGGAATCCAGGAACAAATAATAAATTTCATGATGTAGGAACTATTACCTACTGACTGAGCAGACTTCTAAGTGGAAATCATATTTGAAAACAAGGAAGCAGACTGACTGTAAAGATAGGAAAAGATGGGGGGCAGTGGAGGAAGAGAAGTAAAGGGGATCAAGATGAGTATTTGTTCCCTACAATGAATGTGTTTATTATGTATCACAAACATATGCTTTTTTTTTTAAATCAGTACCGAGGATCAAACTCACAACCACCTGCTTGCAAGGCACGTGCTTATGCCGCTGAGCTAAATCCCCAGCCCATCAAATGTATGCTGATTGCATTTATTTATTTTTGGTACTGGGAATCAAATTCAGGACCCTAGGCTAGCCAGTCAGGTGCTATGCTGCTGAGACAGACCCTCGCCCTCATCCTGCTAATTCTATTAAAAAAAAAAAAAAAAAAAAAAAAAAAAAAAAAGAGGTCGGGGAGAAAACAGAGAAGCACCTTGAATTACAGGAGATAGAGCAACACCCTCCACTAACCTGGGTGGGGAGTTTGGGAAGGGCAGGCAGGGGACAGCATAAGGCCTCTGAGGGACAGAAAGAAGCTGACTGGGTGGCTAGAAGGTGAAGGAGACAAGCCAGGCAGGCAGAGGGTCAGTAGTGGAGGAAACCATGACCACCTCCGAAGAGGAACGGGGCTTCCAAGGTTGTGGGTAGAGGCGAAGATAGGTTTTTTACAAAATCTGCTGCTGCGCTGCTGCTGCTGCTGCATGAGGAGAGGCCGGATCCAGCCTGCAGGGTACCTAGAGACCCAGGCATCGGGCAGTGGGGCAGGGAATGGAGGGAAGGGAAGTGGGGTCTCAGGATATGGGAAATGTTGTACTCTAAGAAAGTAGCTTCATCATTTTGTGTATTATAGCAAACCTGTACCGCGGCTTACTAAATGTTTTCTTTTCTTAACTGATATGTTAAGTGACCCAATTGATATGTTGAGCAATACTCTCCCCTGTAAAGAATTGCAAGAATTTCACTTAATTGAAATGTTAATCACGGAGCGGCCCTCTACAAACAAGAAGAGTGGTGCTAAAACAAGCTAACAAGGGCTGTTAATCACGGGTAGGCGCCTCTAGTCTTCGCTAAAGAACTAAAGAAGACAAGAAGGCCCACTAATTTACACATTGTTTGAAGTAGTGTGTTTATATGCAGGGAGATTTGCCCATGAGTTTAACCTTTTTACCTAACCTTAGTTACTCTTCCCACAAGATAGATACTCGCCGTTTTCCTGTTCTGTAGCGCGCCTTATTGCCTCCCCCCACCCACCTATCTGGGCCATAAAGAATTTGGGTTTCTGGTGACCTCTCCCCGACCTGGTGATGATCTGTCATAAAATGAGCCTGCCCCAATTTTAAGAACTGTTTAGCTTCAAAGAAATTACCGGGAAATACTGTGGCCCAAACCCCGATCGGTGCTTTCCTTTTGTTCTGTATGTACCAATGGGTTAGATATCAGATCTTTGTAAAACTTAAGTTCCAGCATCTCATAACTCGTGACCCCTTCGCACTCACTGGCGAAGACAAGCTGTCCTAGGATAATTAACTCTCCACTTTCTTCCCCAAATATTGCTGCAGATGTGCCACTCTGAGATAATGTCAGTCTGCAGGATGGGAGTAATTTGAGCAACACCAGGAACTCCCGGGACTGTCAGAGCTAAGTGGACAGCAATACAGTTTCCAGATGCGGGTCAACAGGTTTAATGGCCTTACAGGTTTCCTCCCCACTTTCCCTTACTTTTAAAAACCCCTTTCCCCAGTCTTGGGCGCGCAGTCTTTGGTTTGATCTAGGAGAGACTGTGCCGCCAGGACTGGCTCAATAAAGCCTTTGCCACTTAAGTTTTGGACTCTTGTTTCCGTGGACTTTATACCGGGGCCCACGTTATAACATTTGGGGGCTCGCCCTGGATGGAAGCAAGACTCCAGACTCATTTCCGAACATCTGAAAGTAAGTGCTCTGGAGGTTTTGTTTGGGCCGCGGTCAATTTGTAATTTTGAGGGGACGCCCTCAATTTGGGAGTGGGAACCACCCGAGGACAGAGTCAGTTGGTTTGTCGGACAAATTCTGTCCATCTGTGAATCTGCCCCGGGTGAGGAACCACTCCGTTCGGAAGGGGACGCCCTTAATTTGGGAAGTGAAGCCCCCGAGGATGAAGTCAATTGGTTTTTGCCATTTGTGACTCCGCCTGGGTGGGGAACCACTTCATTAGTTAAATTTGTTAATTCCTCCAGATCCCAAAATTTGACTAATTTTTGAGCAAAGGCCATTCTGCTGCAGCTTGTCTTGTCCTGTCTCGTCTTGTGTGTCGGTCTGTGTGTTCATTTGTTCTAATTGTTCCCCTTTTTGGTCACCTAACTCTAACAGAGCCTTCTTTCTTAGGAGCTCCTTCCTGGAATTCGGAGTGGGCAAAGGTGATTCCGACCGTTTGCCTAGTCTCTGTAGTTTTTCTGTTTAACCCTAACTTTGCCTTTTAAGTTTTTTTTCCAGCAAAACCAGCGACACCACCAGCTATGGGTCAGAACGAGTCCATTATGGGTCGGAACGAATCTGTTCCCAGCACTCCCCTTAGCCTTGTCATTGACCACTTTAAAGAATTCCAGAGGCGAGGTGGGAGATATGGGGAAAGGGTTCGCAAAGCCAGACTAACAACCTTTGTCACACAGGAGTGGCCCCTGGGGACCCAAGGAGTCTGGCCCCCTTTTGGGTCCTTTGATATGGAGACAGCTCGAGCGGTCCGCCAGTATGTATTTGGGCCCCCCGCTCACCCCGATCAGATTGTCTATATCCAGGCTTGGATAGATACAATCTATGATGCTCCCCCTTGGATTGAGCCACTTCCGAATGGAGTCCTAGCAGCCCTCAAACCGAAATCCAAGGCTGAAGAGGAGACCTCCAAGCCCAACGCACCTCCAGTCTTACCTCCGAGCGAAGACTTCTCCGACCCGCTAGACATCCTTCCCTTACCCCCTCCCCCGTATCCTGCCCCTGAGCCACAACCTGACTCCACCTCGCCCTCCCCGCCTCGGCCCATTCGAACCCGCCGCCACGCTCGACCAGAGGGACCTCTGGAACAGGGCCACGAGGCAGCGCCACTGTGTCCTCTGCGGGAGGTCCCAGCCCCGAGTGGGGGCTCCATGTTTGTGTACACCCCCTTTTCTTTCTCTGACCTCTATAACTGGAAAAGTCAGAACCCCCCTTTCTCGAAGGACCCAGAATCTCTGATTAGCCTTATAGAGTCTGTTTTCTCCACCCACCTTCCCACTTGGGATGACTGCCAGCAGATCTTACGCATCCTTTTCACGGCTGAGGAAAGGATGCGAATCTGCGCTTTGGGGCAAAAGGGAGTCCGAGAACCGGATGGATCTCCATCCACTGATCGGCAACGAATTGAGCACTTGTTCCCCTCCTCCCGACCCGAGTGGGACCCTAACACGGATGCAGGTAAGAAGGCTCTCGATGAGTATCGCCTGAGGCTCTTAGATGCACTTCGTGCGGCTGCTAAGAAGCCCACCAACCTTTCCCGAGTGAGTGCAGTGCAGCAGTTAGCCGATGAGTCTCCAGCGGTGTTCTTAGAGCGCCTTTTAGAGACCTATAGATTATATACTCCAATCAATCCGATGGCACCCGAGAACGCACGAGCAATTAATATTGCTTTCGTGTCCCAGTCGGCCCCTGATATTAGGAGAAAGTTACAAAAGCTTGAGGGATTCGAGGGAATGCCTCTCAGCCAGTTGGTCGAGGTCGCACAAAAGGTTTTCAACAATAGGGAAACCTTGCAAGAAACAACAACCAAAAGGATGACTAAAGTACTGGAATTACTTTGCGAAAAAGAAGCCAAGAGGTCAGCTAACCCTAGGAAAAAGGAAGCTCGAGGTAAGCGACCTCCTCTAGACAAAGAGCAATGTGCGTACTGTAAGGAGATGGGACATTGGCGTAAGGATTGTCCAAAGTTAAAGCCTAAGACAGAACGAGAGACTAAGGCCCTGTTGTCTCAGAAATGAGGAGGTCAGGGCTCGCCGCCACCCCCCGAGCCCCGGATAACTCTCCAAGTGGGGGGGCAACCGGTGGACTTCCTAGTCGATACAGGAGCTACCTATTCTGTGCTGACTCAACCATTAGGAAAACTGACCAAGCAATCTGTCAATGTGATAGGAGCTACAGGGGGCCGAAAATCGTACCCAAAGGTGACAGCTAGTCTGGCTCGACCTGGACATAGACTGGTCCAACATGATTTTCTCTGGGTCCCTGAGTGCCCGGATCCCCTTTTAGGGCGGGACCTTCTACATAAATTACAGGTGCAAATTGACTTTGTTACGAATGAACCTAGACTGAAGCTAGGGACTGATACCCCCTCAAAATCAGAGGGTATTAGAGTGTTGGCTCTTGTCCCAGAAGGAGAAAGTTACCGCCTGCTGGGAAGTTTGTCTGGTGCACCCGAGTTGTCACGGACTGACTTAGAATTAGAACTGCTGAACAAATGGAAACAGGAGATTCCAGAAGTCTGGGCAGAAAACAACCCTCCAGGGCTAGCAGTCAACCAAGTCCCCCATGTGGTAGAACTCTTGCCTCAGGCACGCCCCATCTGCTTAAGGCAATACCCAATAAGCCTGCAAGCCCGGAAAGGAATTAAAGTCCACATACAGAGACTAAGAGACAATAATATTCTCATTCCTTGTGTCTCTCCCTGGAACTCGCCCTTGCTCCCAGTTCAGAAACCGGGGACGAATGACTATCGCCCTGTACAGGATCTCCGAGAGGTTAATAGACGAGTGCTGACTCTACACCCAACAGTGCCAAATCCTTACACCCTGCTCAGCCTCCTTAATCCGGAGAACACCTGGTACTCTGTCCTGGACTTGAAGGATGCCTTCTTCACCCTGCCTCTTGCTCCGGTGAGTCAACCCCTATTTGCCTTCGAGTGGACTGACCCAGATACAGGGGTAAAGGAACAGCTGACCTGGACACGTTTACCTCAGGGCTACAAGAACTCTCCCACCCTTTTTGACGAGGCGTTAGCAAGAGATCTCTTAGGATTTAGAGAGGAACACCCCGAGATAGTGCTCCTTCAATATGTAGATGATTTGTTGATAGCCTCAACGTCCCTAGAAACATGTCAAGAGGCAACTGAGGAGTTGTTAAAGACTTTGGGACGATTAGGCTATAAAGTCTCGGCTAAAAAGGCTCAACTGTGTCGCCAGGCCATGACTTACCTGGGCTATAAATTACAAGAAGGAAAGAGGACTTTATCAAAAGAAAGAATCCAGGCCATATTACAAATCCCATCCCCAGAAACTAAGAAACAGGTGCGGGAGTTTCTGGGAGCTGTCGGATACTGCAGACTATGGATTCTAAACTTTACTGAAATCGCTCGCCCATTGTATGACTCTTTAAAGGGAGAGACTCAAAAGTCGCTCGACTGGACAGATGAGTGCGAGCAGGCTTTCCAACAGCTCAAGCGAGCTCTGACTGAGGCTCCAGCCCTGGGGCTCCCTGATGTTACTAAACCCTTCACCTTGTTCGTAGATGAACTCAGAGGCATAGCAAAAGGGGTTCTGACTCAAGATATTGGCCCTTGGAAGAGACCTATAGCCTATCTTTCTAAAAGACTCGACCCAGTGGCAGGAGGGTGGCCTCCGTGCCTGAGAATTTTGGCCGCTGTGGCAATGCTACTCAAAGAGGCTAAGAAGCTCACTTTTGGACAAAAGATTTCTGTGGTAACCTCCCACAGCCTAGAGACTCTTATTAAAACCCCCCCAGAAAAATGGCTTTCAAATGCCAGAATTCTACACTATCAGGCCTTGCTTCTAGACCCAGAATCAGTAGTTTTCAAGACCTCCTCAGCTCTAAACCCAGCCACTCTCATGCCCGACGATAACCCAGAAAACCAACAGATGCCTCTCCATGAGTGTGCTGACATTCTCGAGTTACAGCAGAACTTGCGAGCTGATCTAACCGACCAGCCTTTTAAGGACGCTTACAATTATTTCACCGACGGAAGCAGTTTCATTCAGGACGGGAGGCGAGTGGCCGGCGCAGCAGTGACCACCGAGAAAGAGGTACTCTGGGCTAAGCAGTTAGAGCCTGGCACTTCTGCCCAAAAGGCAGAGCTCATTGCTCTGACAGAGGCATTAAAGCTAGCCTCAGGAAAGAGGGTAAACATCTACACAGACAGCAGATATGCTTTTGCTACTGTACATGTACATGGAGCTATTTACCATGAACGCGGTCTCTTGACCTCGGCCGGGACTAAGATTAAAAATGCCCCACAGATCCTAGACTTGCTAGCAGCTGTCTGGCTACCTCAGCAAGTCGCTATTATTCATTGCAAGGCACACCAAGTGGGAGATGACCCCATCATCATAGGAAACAATTTGGCCGATCAGGCTGCCCGAAAAATAGCAACCACATCAGAGGGGCCTGCAGAGGAAATGACTGCCCTGATGCTAGTCCCTCAAGCCTTGTCAGAGCCTGTTTATTCGAAGACAGATTTACAGCTAGCATCTCAACTTGGAGCCAAACCCCGCACTCCAGGGGGCTGGTATCAGCTGCCCGACAAGCGAGTGCTGTTACCCGAAGCACTAGGACGAGAGCTTTTGCAGCAAGCTCATCAGGCTACTCATTTAGGAGGAACTAAACTAGCAGAATTGTTCAGAGATCGATTTTTCATTCCAAAGCTCTCCAAACTAACTGCCTCTCTGAGCTCTAGATGTCCACAGTGTTTGTTGGTCAACCCAACCAGGAAACCTCCACTGGAAACCACCCGGTATCGAGGAACCTCCCCAGGAGAACACTGGGAAGTGGACTTCACGGATATGGTAAAACCTGGCTTGCAGGGACACCGCTATCTCCTGGTGATGGTAGACACATTCACTGGCTGGGTAGAGGCCTTCCCCACTAAGTCTGAGTCAGCCCTGGTTATAGTTAAAAAGCTACTACATGAGATTATACCCCGATTTGGCCTCCCATTATCAATGGGGTCCGACAATGGCCCGGCTTTTATAGCCCAAGTTACTCAAAAGTTAGCCCAAGTATTGAAAATCAGTTGGAAACTCCATTGTGCCTATCGGCCACAAAGCTCGGGACAAGTAGAGCGCATGAACCGGACCATTAAGGACGCTTTGACTAAGCTGTCTTTAGAAACTGGTGACAATTGGGTGAGCCTTCTTCCCTTTGCATTGCTGAGGGCCAGATGCACCCCATATATTTCTGGGATCTCCCCCTTTGAGGCTATGTTCGGGAGACCCCCACCTATAGTTCCTAAGTTGTCAGAAGACAAATTAGCCGAAGTAACTAACCAAGATCTCATTAAGTCCTTACAGAGTCTCCAGCCTGTACTGACCTCAATTCACCGGCTGTTCAGACAAAAACATCCGAACCCCCCCTTGGGAACGCTGCCCCAAGCGTCAATTGAGCCAGGAACGTCGGTCCTGGTGCGACGACACCACCGGGATTCGCTTGAGCCGCGCTGGGAGGGACCGTTCACCGTGGTGCTCAGCACTCCCACCTCCGTCAAGGTAGCAGGAAAGACTGCGTGGATCCACCACACACAAGTCAAACCACTGGAAGCTACAGACGACGAAAAGGGTCCCCGATGGACAGTACAACGGACTGGTAACCCATTAAAGTTAAAGTTTGTAAAGGACTCTCAGCCATAAAATTATGTCTGTACTATGGTATTTGGCTTGGTGCTCGATTATAATTGTAAACCCCGGGAATGGGGACTGGATTGTTTCAGACGAGAAAACTAAAAGGGAACTAGGGAGAGCTAAAGGCACGATAAATCAAGTCACCATTGACCTATGTATACTTTTCAATGGGATAATAATTAATGATGACAGCCCAACTGGCAGGGTAGGTGGGTCGGTCCACCGTAACCTCTGCTCGGGCCGTGGGCCTAAAGCTCTGCAAGTTATGTTCCAACTCAAGCAGGCATCCCTGTATGTATGTCCTAAAAACCAGCCTGACCCCAATTATAATGTGTACTGTGCCTCCGATCCAAAACATCAATATTGTTATTCGTGGTCATGTGTCACAGGAGGCCTAGATGGATACTATAACTCTGAAAAGTATCTCGCTGTCAAGTACATAGGAAACAAAAACTGTTATGGTGTTTATACTTGTAACCCAGTCCAGCTGACCTTTCTAAATCCAACGGATTTTAGGTGGCTGGGGCAGGGACTTACTTACGCTGTTAAAATTTATAAATCTGGACATGATCCTGGAATTAGTATCAATATCTTATACAAGCCACCTAGAAAGCCTCCTGTAGTCATTTACAGGAGAGGACGCCGCCCAGTGACAGCCCCCACTCAGAAGGCACCCATTAATTTCCCACTCAGTCGACCCCGGAGGCACACTCCGACGACTAAAGTGACTGAGGCCACATACAATGGGAGCATTTACCACACAGACCAGCCCCAGATAAAGCTGTGTAAATGGAGGGGGGAAGGGGGCATCCCGTACTGGATAGAGATTAGAGTGCCTAGCCTCGATCCAACCTCGATGCAACCTTCTATGAGGGCTACATCACGGTCACTGATAAACTAGCCTCCGATCCCTCTAGATGCAAAATGCTCCTTCCCCAATCGCTATGGAAAGGCACCAGTTTAGAGGGGATAACTGGTACCTGCATATATCATTTTAGCCACACAGCCCCTGAGTATTGCGACCTTTCTCACTCTTATCGCATCACAGGAGCTGGTGACGCTACTCCCCTAATAGCCCCGGCCAGCCATTGGTGGGCTTGTACTTCAGGATGGTTCCCTTGTATGATTTCAAAAAAGTTCGTTGTTGACCAGGATGAGGTGTGTGTACTAACCCAGGTTCTGCCTAGAATCTACTGGCACTCCGAGGAAGAAGGGAACCGGGCTCTCATCTCAGCCAGTCACCAGATCAATAAGAGAAGTCCAGCCCTCCCTATTATGGCTGGGATCAGTGTATTCTCAGCCCTCGGGATGAGTGCTGCGTCCATGGGAGTTAGCATACACCAATACAATATGCTATCTCAACAGGTAGATGAAGAAATAAAAAGAGTCCAAAATGCTATTGAGGCCTTAGAGAGTTCAATGGACTCATTAGCTGAAGTAGCTCTCCAAAATCGCAGAGGACTAGACCTCTTGCTTGCTGAAAAAGGAGGACTGTGCTTGGCCCTGGGAGAGCAATGCTGCTTGTACGCCAATAAGTCTGGGGTAGTTAGACAAAACTTAGCGGAACTCCAAAGAGGCATACAAGAAAGAGAGAGACTAAGACAAGGAGCTCTAGGGTGGGCGGAGCAAATGTTCTCCTTCCCACCGTGGATAACCAACATAATAGCGACCGTAGCCGGTCCTATCATTGTGATTCTAGTGCTAGCCACTTTGGGCCCCTGCATAGTAAATAGGCTGACTGCATATGTCAAGCGTCAGGTACAAAGTATAAAATTAATGATGGTCAGGCAACAAGCGTATGAGCTTGTCCCCAGCAGACCTTAAGTACGGCCAAGGATTTGGCCCAGAAGTCACAACATCAGAGGGGAATGTTGTACTCTAAGAAAGTAGCTTCATCATTTTGTGTATTATAGCAAACCTGTACCGCGGCTTACTAAATGTTTTCTTTTCTTAACTGATATGTTAAGTGACCCAATTGATATGTTGAGCAATACTCTCCCCTGTAAAGAATTGCAAGAATTTCACTTAATTGAAATGTTAATCACGGAGCGGCCCTCTACAAACAAGAAGAGTGGTGCTAAAACAAGCTAACAAGGGCTGTTAATCACGGGTAGGCGCCTCTAGTCTTCGCTAAAGAACTAAAGAAGACAAGAAGGCCCACTAATTTACACATTGTTTGAAGTAGTGTGTTTATATGCAGGGAGATTTGCCCATGAGTTTAACCTTTTTACCTAACCTTAGTTACTCTTCCCACAAGATAGATACTCGCCGTTTTCCTGTTCTGTAGCGCGCCTTATTGCCTCCCCCCACCCACCTATCTGGGCCATAAAGAATTTGGGTTTCTGGTGACCTCTCCCCGACCTGGTGATGATCTGTCATAAAATGAGCCTGCCCCAATTTTAAGAACTGTTTAGCTTCAAAGAAATTACCGGGAAATACTGTGGCCCAAACCCCGATCGGTGCTTTCCTTTTGTTCTGTATGTACCAATGGGTTAGATATCAGATCTTTGTAAAACTTAAGTTCCAGCATCTCATAACTCGTGACCCCTTCGCACTCACTGGCGAAGACAAGCTGTCCTAGGATAATTAACTCTCCACTTTCTTCCCCAAATATTGCTGCAGATGTGCCACTCTGAGATAATGTCAGTCTGCAGGATGGGAGTAATTTGAGCAACACCAGGAACTCCCGGGACTGTCAGAGCTAAGTGGACAGCAATACAGTTTCCAGATGCGGGTCAACAGGTTTAATGGCCTTACAGGTTTCCTCCCCACTTTCCCTTACTTTTAAAAACCCCTTTCCCCAGTCTTGGGCGCGCAGTCTTTGGTTTGATCTAGGAGAGACTGTGCCGCCAGGACTGGCTCAATAAAGCCTTTGCCACTTAAGTTTTGGACTCTTGTTTCCGTGGACTTTATACCGGGGCCCACGTTATAACAGGAAACTGTTGTTGAGGCGCAAAGTGCAGTAGAGTTCCAGGCTGCCACCCTTGGGCAGCTGGGAGGTTCTCCTTCCCCTTTGTGGTGAAGAATCCAGCGGGAAATTGTGACCTCTCAGAGGAGGTATATATGTAGATTTGGAGCTCAGTAGAGAGGGCCGGGTGAAGACAAATCAGAGTCAGCTGGGTACCGTGGCCTATGCCTGTGATCTCAGTACTCTGGTAGGCTGATGCAGGAGGAGCTCAAGTTCCACCCTGTCTCAAAACCAATAAAACATGTAGCTTGGTACAAAGGCCCCGGTTGGATCTCTAATACTAGGGTGGAAAAAAAGAGTTGGTTAGAGAATGAGGTGGTGCTAGGACAGCTCCTCCAAGAACCTCCCAACGAAGGGACATCTGCAGAGGAGCTGGAAAAGGAGTCCCAAGGTGCTGGAGAATGGAGGGCAGGGGACTGCAGGACTGGGAGGCCTCTGTCAGGGCAGAGAGCTTGCAGAAAGCAAGCACTTTGTCTGCCCCTTGCCCAGAGCCCACATCACAGCTAGGGGCCCAGCTGAGTACACAGTGAATGAATGAATGAATGGCCAGAAGAAAGGACACACATCTGAGGTGGAGTCTCCAGGAGAGGGAGAAGGAAGATGGCACCCCCACCCCCACAGTGGAGGACAAGTGGGAGGCTATTCTGGGGCTCCTCCGGGTAAATATAGCCTCAGAATGGAGGGGGACGGCAGCGGAGATGGCTTCCTCGGTTTGTTTGGGGCATTTCCTAATAAGGCTGTGCAGGCCTAGGCGCCGGCCAGCAGGGTGAGGTCAGGGGCTGAGCACTCCATTCAGCCGCCTGCCTCTGTCCCTGTCGCTCCCGCTGCTGCCAGAGCCCCACAGGAAATCAAAACCCCAGCTCTGGCCTCCTGCCAAGACTGCTGCTCAGTGAGGCTCTTAAAGGGCCCCCTCCCCACCTTGCAGGCTCGGCTCAGAGCCAGTTAGGGGCTTCTCTCACGCTCCCCTCAGACAGGCCGCTACACACCTCGCTGCCCCACAGGGTCTGTTTTTCCCATCTGTGGTAGTTCTTGGGCTGGATCCTTCTGAGGCCCTGCACAGCTCTGCTGCCCAGTGGGCTAATCAGAGTCCATTCCTTGCCTCCCAGGAAAAGCTCTGCTGCCCCCAGCCCCGCCCCAGCCTCTCCTTGGGGGAGCCAGCTGCTGCCACTTGATCCTGTGGTGTCACAGCTGCTGTCAGCAATGCCATCCTGCCCAGGCAGGGATGGAAGAATGTGATTTAATTTCTGCTGGAATGTGCCCTCGGGGCTGCCCACAGAAAGGGGGTGGTCATAGGGAGCCCCTCAAGCCTAGGAAACTCAAGGACAGCCCCATTCCCAACCCACAGGGGAGGGCTAAATCCCAGGACAGCCTGCATCAGGATGAATGGAAGAGAGACTGGAACTCCAGGGAGGTGGGAAAAGAGAAGGTTTCTCATACAGGCAGCATGAGTGACGGCTAAGAAGCGGTGCCTGCCCCTGTCCCTGAGTCCCTAGCTCACGGAGGGGGCAGCGCAGGCCTCTCAGAGGCCAGCGGCTGAGGCAGAAAGGCACAGCTTGGCTCAGCACCTGGGGAGGGACAGAAGGGACTCAGGAGAGGGCTGCAGACTTTGCTCTGGAAGGAGGAAAAACCAGCGCTTTCTTCTCTCCCCACTCACCGTCCTGCTTCTCTCACCCCAAGGGCCTTTTCCTGTTCCCCATCTTGCTAACCCACCACCCCAGGTGCAGGTCAGTATTCTCCTCTGCAGCACTTAGGAAAGGGATGCTGCCCCGGAGCTCCAGCCTCCTGGTCCCAGGTCCTGGAGCCCTTCTCCTGTCCCTCAGCCTTCTTTGCTTCCAGGCCACCCCCCCCCCCCCCCGCCTGCCCCAGTCCTATCACCCCCCAGCCCCTGTGCTTCAGCTGTGGTCCAGAAATAACGAGAGAGGCAGGTGCCAGGAGGCCCCTGTTGGGGACCCCTTCCCGCAGCTGTTCCCCAGGGCCCCAGGAAGGTGACCAGAGACTTTGGTTGGCTCCTCCAGGACTGTGTTCCTTCCTTATCCCCAAGGAGAGACAACATCCACTGACAGCCTCACTCAACCTCAGAGCCCCGAGTCTCCGTCCAGGCTCCCCGTTTTTACCTCCCTCTGGCTTCCAGTGATACCGGCTTCTCTGGCCCCTTCCCAACTCCTGAATGAATCCCTTGGTCTCTCCAGGATTCCTTCTTATTCTAGTCACCTCATTTGCCATAAAGTTACATCAGAGTGAACTTCAGCTTGCTTTGATGAGGAAACTGAGGCACTTGCTGATGATACTAGGAGTCCCTAGATGTCACCTGGGGTCTTATAGGAGATGAGTCATACAGGAGTCTGTGGGCTGCCTCTTTCAAATACTCCAGTCCCAAATGGTCAACAGCCACCCCTGTGTTGACAATCCCTGTAAATACTGGGGAGAGCTTCAGGGATAAACAGAAGCCTTGGGCCACCCACTCAGATGGTGCCCTGAACCCAGAGTGCAAATATCCTCCTTCCTCCTTCCTCCTCCCCTCTGCTTTGCTCCCCTCTCCTTCCCAGGCCTTTCTTGGTGCTCTGCCCTTGTGACTGTCAGGTCTCCCTTCCCAGGAGGAAGTTTGCTGCTGTGCAGCACCAGGAATGGAAGTCAGGCCTCTCATGAAAGAAAGGACTCTCATGAGCTGGGAAAGCTACCCAAGCCCTCACTCAGGCAGGGTTCTGACTGCTACCCCTGGAAAATCTTCCCACCCATGGGGGTCAGACAGGCTGAGCATTTTTGAAAGTCTTTGGGAGCTGCTGTGTCATGGTGGCGGGCAGCCAGGACAATGGGGGCCTTTCTCTCTCAGTGCGGGGGACAGGCCCACAGTCAGGGCCTCAGGGCTGAGACAAAGGCCTTAGTGAGATCTGAGTAGTGCTGTGAGACTTAGGGGTGTGGGGGAGGAATGGGGAGGCAGGTGTGGGACACAGCAGCCTGGGGATGTAGGGGGGCTATTGGTTGGCCATCTCCAGATCCATGATGATATTCAAGCCTCTGTGTCCCAGCCTTGTTGGGTCTTCTCTCCCACCTCACTCATCCCCCAGGAACAGGCATCCTGCAGGGTTCCCCACTTTGGACCTGTGGGAAGGTGCCTGAGAGCTAAACACACCCATACTTTCAGGGACTGACTGGGTGGGCAGGTGGTTAGATCTGTGCTGTGCCCTGGGGGGTGGGACACACGCACACATACACACACAGGCGCACGTACTAGCATATTCACACACAGGCAGGCCAGGGCTTGCATTTGGTGCAGGGCACTCTTTGAGTCATTCCTGGATCAGTTCCCTTTCCCCAGGAAGTCCAACAAAGCTGGGAGAAGGCTTCCGTTTCCTGCCAGAGCAGCCCAGCAGGTGTGGAGAGGAGCTCAGATTCCAGTTCAGGCCCTTCATCTACCTCTGGGACTCTCCATGCCAGCAGATCAGAGAAGATGGGGATCCTGGCCTGAGAGTGATTCAGCAACAGTGCCTTGGTGAAAGGCAGACAAATCAAAGCCCTGCCCAGCTCACAAGTAGGGACTCAAGGAGCCCAACCTACTACCTACAGCACCCCTAGAGCTGGGATGTGGCTCCGGGGTGGAGGGGGCCTGATGCACTAGGGCCTGAGTTCAGTCCCCACCGTGGCAACAACACAGCCCACCTCTGCAAGAACCCTAAGGACAGGCACTGCCTGTTTCCCAGCCTTCTCCTGTTCAAGTCCCACCTTCCAAGGCCCCTAGGTTGTTATCCATTCATAAATGCAGTGGGTGATCAGAGGATTAAGTGGGGGTCTTCCCTGGCCCCAGCACCATCCTCGTGCCTGTATCCCCTAAGAAACCCAATCCTTAACTGTGCTTGGCCGGGATGGGGACAGGAATGGATGGGACAGGTGAGGGATGAATGTGGTAGTAGGTGGGTCTGGGAGGTTAGTGCTGGAATCTCACAGACCAGCTGCTTGGGATTTAGACAAGTGTGGGGAAGGCGGGAGCTGGTAGAGATGGCCCAGGAGAGCCCATCCACTACCCTCAGCACGCACTTGTCCTGAAACTGTCTCTGTTAGTCCTGCCTCACTGTCTCTAGGTCTCCATATTTCTCAGCCTTTTCCCCTGCCTCTTGGTTTTACTGACATTTAGGAAAAGGAATAAGGAATAAGAACTGCCCAACTGTGCCAGGCTAGGTGGTGCATGACTGTCATCTCAGCACTCTGGAGGCTGAGACAGGAGCACTACTGGGAGTACAAGGCCAGCCTGAACTATATAACTGAGACCCTGTCTCAAAACAAAACCAAAACCCAAAAAACAACAAAAACAAATAATTGCCAGTGTGGAACTGGGTATGGTGGTGCACACCTGTAATCTCAGTACCTAGGGAGGCTGAGGCAGGAGGAGCACAAGTTTGCACCCACCCCAGGCAAGTTAGAAACTTAGCTGAAACATTGTCCCAAAATAAAAATAAATACAAAAATAGAAAAGGGCCAGAGATGTAGCCCTGGGCTCACTACCCCATTTCCCTCTCTGTCTGTCTCTTTCTGTGTCTGTGTCTGTGTCTCTCTCTCTAACATATACAATTGCCCATGTAGATAGATTATGTGTTGGAACTGGGCACACACAGAGGTGTGTGGACACATGACAGTGTGCAATTGTGTGCATATGAGATTTTATGGCTAAGCCAAATAATCATCCTGTCCATGCATCCTGTCTATGACAGATGTCCATGCATACGTCAGTCCACCAGTCCATCAGAGGGGCAAAACACACCCCTGTGACACACTTATTGAAGGCATAATTCTGCACTGTGCACACACTCTGTACATGAAGCACAACTGGAGTATTATTTCCCCATCCTCAGTGATCTCACCATCAGTCTCCGCTGACTCACTGGTCCTGGCCTGCTTAGTCTGGCCGGAAGTCTTACCTCCTTCCCGCTCTGAGGCGACGGAAAGAAAGGCCGTGGCGCTCCCTGGCGGTCTCCTTAGGCTGCAGTACCAGCCGGGTCTTTGCATGCACGCGCACACAGCATTCTCCAGAGCGATGCCCTGCACTTATAGCGCCCTCTGGTGGCCACAGTGAGACTCACAAACTATCCTGAAGCCGGGCCTCCTGCTCCTTCCTGCTTTCCTTTGGGGACCTGCATGTGTCTTCCTTCACCCTCACACTTCCTAGAGAATCTCTCCCCACCAGGAGCTGAGAACTGGCACTCAAGGTGCCCCCTCTATGCCTTTCTCTCTGGAACCCCTACACCAAACTCCTCTGCTATGGGCACTGTGTCACATACTATCTGACACCCTGACTCTCTTGCTGCCCCCAGCTCCATGGTTTCTTTATTCTATGACTGTGTACTGGGCAGCTTTCAGTGCCAGGCACTTTTATCCCCTGACATCTTAAGGGTTTCTCTGATCTTTAGAAGTTATAAACACAGACGCTGTTTATCCTCTCCTAAGAGGCCCTGCTCATCTGCACTTTGCCTCCCTCTTTCTATCCCCTGCCCTGGTACTGGAGATTGAACCCAGGGCCTTCACCGTAAACTGCATTCCTAGGTCTTTTGAGACAGGGTCTCAATAAGTTGCCCAGGCTGGGCTCAAAGGTAAGATCCTCCTGCCTCAGCTGCTGAGAGTGCTGAGATGGCAGGATTACAGGAGTGTATCATCATGCCCAACTATAGATCACACACACACACACACACACACACACACACACACACACCAAACTTGTTTAGGCTTAAGCACAACTTTATTTCCTGCTGGTGTTACTGGTACTCCATCCTATAAACCCTCTCCCTATGAATATCAGGAATGAGTGGGCACAGTACACCCTAGAGAAACAAGTGGGCAGGATGGCTGGTAGGGAGAGGGTGGGTGAGGCACCTAAGTCTTACCCATTACCCTGAGGGAAAACCTTAGGCCCAGGATAGGGGAGAGAAGGCGGGGCCAGGCTGGAGTGCTTCCCAGAAGCCTCTGTCAGGGGCCCAGCTCTCCACCTCTCATGCTGTCACTTCCTGTGGTTCCAAGGACACAGGGATGGCGGGGGTGGCAGGTGGTGCCAGGGAAAGCAGTGTTTAAGGCCTTGTTCCTTTAGAGCCAGGAGTAGGGCCAGAAGGAGGGGTCAGCAGTGCCCTCCAGTAGCCCGGTAGCCTTTCCTGGTATTCTTCTGAGGTCTTCACTGGGTGCAGAGCGCGGGCCTGGGGAAGACACACATGCCTTCTTGGCTGGGCTCTTTTTGTTCTGTGTCTTCTCAGAGTCTGCCCTCTGATGACCTTGCTCCTTGAATCCTGACTTCATTCAACTGCTCACCCTGATTCAGCCCTTAAGAGCTTGGATGTGGCTGCATGTTCTCAGACACCAGTCCAGGACAGGACTCCCTGGCAGCCACCCACCCACCTCCTCCTCTTTCCCCTAGAGGGGCACGGATCATTCCAGGGCCACATCGCCAGTGCCAGCAGAGCCCCCTCCTTGCACTCACAGTCCTGCGGGGCACACAGGAGATCCGCGGAGACTCCCAACTCCCATCTTCCCGGCAGCGGATCAGCGGCAGGTTGCGTTGGACCAGCCCTTTGCGGCACCGATAGCGAAGCACCGTGTCCACCTCGTAGCGCAGGCGCGGACTGCCGAACACTTGAGCCAGCGGCAGCTCCGGTGGGGGCCCACAGGACACTGCAGGGGACACAGTTAGGAACTGGGAGCCTGGCACCGTGACGACAGCTCCCAGAATTTTGCTAGGGAGGAGTGGAATGGCAAAAGGCCAGGGATTCTGAGTGGTCCATGTGATATCCTGCCCGTGGCGGGGACACAGCCCACTCTCCATGCTCTCCCCACCCCCACTCCTCCTAGATGCCTCACCTAGCCCCATCTTGCAGGTGTAGGACAGGTGATAATTGCAGGGGACGTCACTCCACTGCCCCTGGTCGTGCCACACCATGACCACGCAGTTCTCTCCGGAGAGGAAGTAGCTGTCGGGCTGCCCAGGGTTCCAGTTCTCGTAGAGCTAGGGAGTTGGAGGTGGTCAGGACTAGCCCTGGGTGATAGGCTCATGGGACCTGGGAAGGACCATGAGGGACCCCAGAGTGGGAAGGCTGGGGATCCAGGGTTGGGGACCCTCGGGAAGGGGAAATGAAAGGGCTGGAGAGAGGGAACAGAGAGCAGGAGGCTCAGGATAGAGAACAAGGAGGCAGGAGAGGCCCGGGAAGAAGAGAGACAAGGCCTGCGAAGGGGAAAGAGGACAGAGTCCCTGCCGGTGGGGGCAGGCCCCTCACCAGAGGGACACCATCCGACCACAGGAAGTCGCCTTCGATGGTCCTGTCGTTCAGCCCGATCCACTGGTACTCCCGGTAGCGATCTGGAGAACCGCGGGCGAGTGAGCGCTGCTGCCAGTAGGGGGCGGCCGTTCCCGGGCACCGAAGCCGGGAACCCCGCTAGGGCCACAACCAGCCCTCCCGCATCTCGGGCCGCTGCCTCCAGCCTCTACACACAGACACCAAGGAGGAGAGGAGAAACCCTAGCCGGGCGGGAAGGGACAGGAAAGAGCCGATCCTCCCGAACACAGGGGGCGCAGGGGAGCTGGGAGGGCCGGCCACCCCCCGGAGCTGAGGCCACCCCCTCTTTCTGCAGGCAGGGTGTGAGGAGGGAGAGGCGGGACGCGCGCGCGAGTGGGCTGCGGAGGCGGGGTCGCCGCGGGGCGCACTGTTGATGAAGGCCTGCTCCTCGGGCGTGCGCACGCTGGCCAGGTGCGCGCCCAGCCGCCGGCACTGGCTCTCCGCTTCCTCCCAGCTGCGGCGTGCCGCGAAGTGCTTGTAGCAGGCGCCCTGGAAGCTGTCCCAGCCTGGGCTGCAGGAGCGGAGTCCTGCGTGCAGTGGGTTGGGGTCTCAGGCCGGAAGACCAAGGGATCTCTTGGGAAAGCACTGGCTTCCTCCTAACGCCACGGGACAGCGAATCCCGACTGCAGGGCAGGGCCTCCTCTGAGATGCCTCTTCTGAGCTACAGTAAAGGCTGTAGGATGGGGTCTGGGTCTCTACAACCCTCACCCGGAGAAGCGCTGAGCCCTCCTCTTGCTGCAGGGAAGGCCGCATGTATTGACTGCCTACTGGAGGCCGGGATGCCCTTCTCTAAGCAGCATTCGGGCTCCGTGTGACAGACAGGACATGCCGAGCAGGGATGGAGAAGCTGTGTAATTTGCCTAAGCTAGGGAATAATTCATGACAAATCCAAACCAATGTCTGTGTCCCACCCTCCCCCTGTAACTAATATATTGGGGCAAGGCCCAAGCTTCAGATCTGCCCCTCAAGTCCCTTAACAAACTCACCAATATCACACAGGTGTCCCCCATAGCCAGGCAAACACAGGCAGCGGATCCCCTCTTCCTCCTCCAAGCACGTCCCTCCATTGTGGCAGGGGTTGGGGATGCAGTCACCTGAGGGAGGAGAGAAGTGAGCAGGAGAGCAAGGACTCCAGCTGTGCAGCCTGTACCCTCCAGGGAAGGGACAGAGGGGTTCAGGGGTTCAAGCCTGACTCCTTGTCCTGAGAGCCTGACCCTGGTCACAGTCTGGCTCTGAGTTCTGGGTCTCTCCCCAGCCTCCACCCCTACTCATTGGCTCAGCCCCGTGCAGGCCACCAGTGGGGGCCCAGTCCAACAGGAGCAGAAGGGAGGTGGCACTAGCAAAGACACTGAGCTGTTGGTGACAGAGACCAAATTTCTCTGGGGCTATTGGCTTCTCTGTGTGACACTGGCAGGTCTGGAGTTCAGTCCCACCCCCTTGTCTTTTGCGCCAGGTCCCAGCTCAGTGGGCTGGGGGCACTGGAGGAGCAAGAGAGACGGAGACAGAAAGACAGACAGAGAGAGAGAAAGAGAGAGAGAGAGAGAAAGAGCCTGATCCTGGTACCTGATGTGGTACAGTCCAGAGCACTAAGGAATGTCTCTCCTGGCCATGGGCAGAGTCAGTTGGCACAGAAGTTAGAGATCAAGCCAAAGTTCCTTGCTCAATGCCCTGTCCTCTCTCTCAGCACTGTCTTCTAGTGTCTGGCTAGCCACACACACTGAGCCTTTATAAAACATCACCCACTTCAGCACTCTACAAGACACACACACATTTTTTCTTTTTTGACACTGGGCATTGAGCCTAGAGCATTGTGCATGCTAAGCTAGTCCTCTGCCACTGAGCTGCATCCATGCCTCGCTGTGTTGCCCAAGCTGGCCCAGAAATTGTGATCCTCCTTCCTCAGCCTTGTGAGAAGCTGGGGTTATGAGTGCATGCTACCGTGCCTGTCTTACCTTACTTGTATTTCACAGACTCTTATTAAGTAGCTTCTCCACATTCTGCTTTGGGCTGTGGCAGGTTCCCTAGCTGGGCTCTACCTCACTTGCTCCTGCTGTCTCCTTCAGGGAATTCCCTGAAACTGATCCTGCCCTGCTCTAGGCCTGCAATCTGCTGTCTGTATTTGGTGCAACTGGCTAGGCTATCTGCCTTCTCTGGATGCTCTCTGGACCCTTTGATGGGAGATGATTTCTTTTAGGCCCTGTCTGGGTGTTGGAGGAGCTCAGTTTCATTCTGACCCAGGGAGAAATGGCTTCACAGACTACAGTGCAGCCAGTGTCTTCAGTCATAATGGATGGTAAAATCACCCCGTTTGGACCTCACCGTCTTCCCCTGGAATCAAGGCCAGGGTCCACAGTGCTTCACAATGGCCTGATATGGATCCAAGAGCAGTGGTGGGGAAAAATTAGAGGTGATTCAAAGAATTTTTCCCAGATGACCTCACCATTTGAGTAAAATGAATTAGCTTTTCTACTCACATTTTCTTCTCACTGGCCAACAGTTTCCCCCCAGCTGATAGTGCTCCCCCACCCCATGTTTCATTTAACCAATCAGAACTAGGCCCAGCAGTGAGTAGTTTCCTGAACGCTCCATTTCACATTCCCCTGCTTCCTCTTGTCCCCACCCCTTCCTGTCCAGCCCTCCAAGCCTGGGGGCAAAGACTCTCAAACTCATTGGTACCCCCTAACCCCAAGTCATAGGCCCCATCCCTGGCTGTGGGTGGCAGGACCAGACCCCAAGTTGAGCAGAGTAGGGTGAAGGGACTCATCTTGGGAGACCATCATTTTTTTTGGTACTGGGGATCAAACTCATAATCTTATGCTTGCCAGGCAGGCGCTTGTACTGCTAACCTAAACCCCAGCCCTTGGGGGCCATCTTATCTTCCTCTCTTTGGATGTTTCCTTCTCTCCTGGTGAAGCAGCAGGCCAGGGGACCTCTAGCTCCTCCCCTAGGCTCCTTTACTAATTCTTCAGAGAATTCCAGAGGTGTGACTCTCCCTCACCCCTTGCCACTGCAAAGCCAGATTGGTGCAGAGACACAAGTGAAATGGGCAAGCCATGGTGTGATGTAGGGACCCCTAGCCCACTCTGGGCTATCTGAGAGAGAGGGGCTGCGGCAGGGAGGGTCCTAACCTCCAGGAGCCTCCACTGGGAATCAGGGCCTTCTTTGGATAGGCAGGGCTTCTCTTAGATCACAGAACCCAACTTCTCACACCCTCTATCACCACCCCCCATTAACAACTTCTCCAGCATCAGAGTCTGAGATCTTTCAGGTTTGGGAAGGGTGGAACCTTTCCCCCTGGCGTGATCATTAGTGCAGGGGTTAGTGAGGAGAAGTGTGGACAACGGGTAAAGTAAGAAGACAGTGGCCTCCTGCTGAGATGAGGCATTAGGGCTCCCAGATGCCAGGGAATGACTGTATGCTGAGAAACTTTCCGAGTCACTACTGTCTACAGGAGCCACCGAGGTGGGTCAGAAATCAGTGCATAAATGCATCACCCCCTTCTCGCTCGGTGGGTTTCTCCTCATCAGGAGTGCAGGACTACATGCCCAGGGAGTGTTGCTGGGGCAGTGTGCACAGTCATGTGAGGGAACTGGGCAGTCAGGAGGGAGTGTGGACAGGTCTGGGAGAGGCTGGGAGTCAGCAAGGGCTGTTAGACTGCTAGGATTGGTGCAGGCTGAAGAGGAAAAAAGAAGAGGGGCACAGAGAAAGGGGGAGAAGCATGGAGCCAGAGAAAAGTGCCAGAGATCTGCCCAAGACACAGATCAAGGAATGAGAGGGCAGACAGAGGAGATGGAGACAGAGGTGCCAGCGTTTGGTTACAAAGCGGTTTAATAGACATTTATTTCCAAGGCTTGTTTTCCATGAAACAATCAAAAATACTTCACAGAAGTAGTGGTTTAAGGCTCTTTTGGGTGAAGGCTCTTTTGGACCCCAGAGGTCAAGGGGCGGGGATAGACTCCCAGGCTTCCCTGAGATAGGCCAGTAGGAGATGACTGAAGGGGACAGCACACAGGTGGGGAGGATGGACCTGGCCCCAAAAAGCAGCAGGTCATTACCCTGGAGAGGCATGAGGATGCTGTGGGGTCAGTGGGCTACAAAGGTCACGCGTGGTCAGTGGTGGGGCTGGAGTTGCAGAGCGAGGAACAGAGAGCTGGGATAAAGTCACAGGTGAGAATCCAAGCCTGGAGACCCACAGGCAGAGACAAGAGAGTGAGGGCAGAGGACAGGAGTCTGGAGTAACAGTGAAAGACTACAGGTCAGGTGGTCCAAAACTGCACTGGGAGAAAAAGGAGCAGCACAGACAGAAAGACTGAGCCTTGGGCAGAGTTACCTGATGAGGGGGCCACGGCCACTCCACCTTGGCTGGCACTGTCAGTGGGCAGCACGGGTGGGGCCTGCACTGAAGTCCCTGCTGGGGTGCTTCTTCCAGAGTTCTCTTCCGGGGGGGCCTCCAGGTCCCTGGTACCCTCAAGGGCTGGTGTGGCAGGAAGCAGGGGTGGAGTGTCCTCGGAGCTCCCTGCCTCCTCACTTTCTCCTTGAGGGACCCCAGAGAGTTCAGGACCCCCAGTTTCCTCCCCCTCCTCTCTCGCCCCAGCTGGAGTGAAAGGCAACAGGGATGCTAGGCTCCCCTCTTTGGTAGTGGGGAGAGTCTCAGTAGGTGGCCTACGGAGCCTTGGAGATCTGGGAGCTTCCGACTGTCCATCAGGGGGTGATAATGTGCCTGGCTGCAGGACTGAAGATGCCTGGGAGAGTGAGTTCTCTGATTCTTCCATGGGGACAGGGCTGCTGAGTTCCCCAGGCCACACCCACGCGTCCTCATCCTCCACTTCCTCCTTCTCTTCTTCCTCTGTCTCTTCTTCTTCCTTGTATTCTTCCTCCTCCAATGCCTCGTCCTCCTCTTCTGAGGACCCCGTGGGTGGTACAGTGGATGCAGTTTTGAATTCTGGGGGTGGGGAGGGGAGAGAATCACACAGAGTTCAGCACCAGGGACAGCACCCTCTGAAGGTCAGGAAGAAAGAAGGCAAGAGGAGAAAGGATGGGGGTGGGCACTGGAAGGGAAACTCCAGAGAAAAGAAAGAGCCCACCCTAGGGAGAAGTGGTGTGTGTTCCACACTAGAAAAACTGCAACATAAGCAGTACTGTTCAGGCCACAGTTAGCACTGTGAGCTGTCTTCAGTTTGCCTCTCCCTCTCCTAATCTGTCTCTAGTCTGATTTGGGTAGGTAAGGCAGAGAAGGAACAAGGAAAGGATAGCCTCTTAGTCCCTCTTAGTCCTCTTCTTGCTTCCCTTGAGGCAGCCTCTTAGTCCAAGCGTGGACAGAACCAGATTTGGGAGTGGATTTTACTAGAAAAGTAAATTTGGGGCAAGCACAGGAGAGATGCCCAGCACCACTGAGCTGCCAAGAAAGACAGGACAGAATCATGCCAGCCATGAGCCCAGCATCTGCCTGGGCTTGGCCCCTTCAGTCCCAACTTCTCTCCAGTGACTGACTCAGAGTAGGGGATTTAGGTTACCTAGAAGGGTCCTGGGGGCCTCTGCTGGATCCTCAGGAGTGGAGCTTCCACCTCCCCCATCTTCCATGATAGGGATGGAGTAGATGGCTCCTCGGGACTCGCTCTCCATAGCTTCTAGAGGCAGCTGCAGCTCTTCCAGGGTCTCTGTCACTGTGACAATGGCTTCTAGCCCATCAGAGGCTGAGTTGGAGACCCCAGGGATGGCAGAAGGGTGGGCAGAGTCTGCAGCAGGAGGAAAATTGCTATGGGAGGCTGATTAGGTAGGTGGTTCCATGGACTGTGTGTGAGGCTGACCTGCTAGAGACCCTGAAATTCTCTGTTCCCTCTCTGCCTCCCTGTGGTGCACCTGGACCCTGGGAGCACCATAGAACTTTGCCACCCCTTCCTCAAATGTAAACCAAAGGCCTATTATGTGTTCTGTCAAGCATTCTCTTGAGCATTGAGAATATAGTGCAGAATAAAATAGCTACTTCCTGTCATCAAGAAAATTTATATTCCAGAGAGAGATAATAAGCAAATAAGCATATTTTATAATGATACAGTATAAGAACAATCAAACAGAGTTATGAGACAGTGTAATGGGGAGTTCTGCCACAGAGGGATCAGGAAAGGCTCAGTTGAGAGCTGTTCCCTTGAGGGGAGGACAGAAGCTGAAGGACAGGTGGAGTGGCCTCAATACCTTGGAGTCTTGAACTTGGGTCAAGGTGCAGGGACTCTAGTCATCCCAAGCCTCTTGACATGGAAGGGCCCTGGCACCATCCCCACAGGGGAGCTGAGGAGCAAAGTGTAGGAAGAACTTGTGATAGTCAACACCTGAGAGTCCCAGGAGTGGGGCAGAAGAAGGGGCCACCTCCCTGGGGATTCACTCTTTCCAAATGTCAGTTTAGGCTCAATTATCTTCTCTGCGGCAAGCCCATGAACTGACGGTGGAACTAGGCTAAGGAAAGCCCTGCCAGCAATCTGTGCTTGGTCAGGCAAGACAGGACAGCATGTCTCTGCCGGGTCACCTGCTCTGGTGAGTCTGACTCCATACCAGACCTTCTGGCCCTGAGTTTTGCTGCCTGTTCTCCACCTGCTCTCCCTTAAGTCATGCTCCCTCCCTCCCTTTCCACTTCTCCCAGGAGAGAGTGCTTGACCCACAGCCTGTCCTTGAGGTCCTGCTCCCTGTGGCAGTTGTGTCTGTCCATCAGTATGTGGTGGATAAAGATCTGATGTAGGTTCAGAAACCCTCTGGAAAACATTTGGTCAACTAGAACTTGAGTAGGTCACTCATTGAACCAAGAGGAAGTCAGTCATCACTGCTGTGCCAATAAACTGATGGGCAATGGGCACTTCTGCAGCAGCCCAGTGAAGACACAAGCATGGATTACTGGGCAGGCAGAGAAGGACATGCAGAAAGGTGATTACTCCCCGAGCCCACACCATTGAGTGAAACCAAGCGTGGAGCATGCCCAGAAGTAGAACCCTGGATGACAAGCTGGGCACCACCTTCGGTAGATGGTCAGGACTCCAGAGGACCTGGTCAGAGCTGGGGTGGGATCTGCAGTTCTGCAGGGAGGGGCTCACCTCGGAAGCAGTAGACGTTGAAGCGGCTGTGCTTGTTGGGGAAGCCGGTCTGGTTGGGGAAGAGGAAGAGGGTCTTGACACCAGGCAGGCCCCCACCACAGCGCTGGCTAGGTGTGACGATGGGGTATCGCACGCTGCCATCAGCCAGCCAGCCGGGGCTGCAGCGATCCAGGCCACCATCCCAGGCTGCATACAACTGGCCTGTGGTGGCGATCTCTGCACCCCGCTCCCGGCAGTATTCCTGGGCCTCCTCCAATGTCAGCTTGTCTGGGGGAGCACCTAGGAACAGCTCTCCTGGGTGGGGAAGAGGAGGCCATCACTAGGTGGTCAGCAGCTCCTTCCACCCTGGCTTAGGCTTCTCATCTGTGACACTGGTCAGTGACCCTGACTTATAGGATCAAAGTGTAGACAGAACCCCAGGATGAATATTAGAGCTCGGAGGAATGTGGCCCCACTTTCTCATTCTGCAGAGTCATTCTGCACGGTCTGAACAGTAGGTAGCAGAATAGATAGATCTCACACTTGGCACCCTGCCACTTGTCTGAGGCTTTGGTCACGAATTTGCCTCTATGACAGGGTTGAGACCCTGACTGTCTTCTTACCCCCTTGCTTCCTCCCTTAAACTTGTGAGGGATAGTGAGGTCCAGCAGAGGGTCCAGGGAGTACTAAAGAAAAGGTTTATTCTCTGGCAACCCCTCACCCCCAATCACCATTTAGGTCCTCAGCATAGCAGTACACATCATAGAGGTCATCTGGGTCCACCACTCCATAGTTTCGCACCCCAGGGAAGCCATCCATGTCTCCGTAACAGGCCTCTCGTGGTGTCTGGATGGGATACCTGGGGAGGGAGGATAAACACTCAGTAGCAGTGCCTTCCCAGGCAGCCATTCCATGTTGACCCTGCCCTTAGCAGCCTGGCTACCATCCCCCAGGCTGGGCCTCATCAGCATCAGACCCCCTTTTCACCAGAAATGGGAGCCTCGGATACCCACCCTGACCCAGCAGGCAGCCCTGGGAGACCAGAGGACACAGCTACTTCAGAGACAGCCAGAAGCCCTTGATCCATGGCCCCAACCCACCTCACAGTCTGGTCAGACAGCCAGCCAGCATCGCACTGCTCGTAGCCCCCAAGGTAGGCGGCGTAAAGCTGTTCAGGTGTGGCAATGCGGGCGCCTATCCGAGCACAGGCTTCCTGGGCCCCGGCAAAGGAGAAAGCATAGCGGGCAGAGCCCTCTCGGTAGAGAAAAACAACCCCTGAAGGCAGAGAGGATTTCTGATCACCCAGCACACAGACTGCCCTTTCCCTCCTGTCCTGCCTTTGCACCAAAGTGTTGACTGTATGATTGAGCTCACTCTATAGCATGAAGGATTTAAACTAGAACACAGGTAGAATTGCTTTTATCTGATGTTTTGGTGGATTTTTGTGTGTGGGTTTTTGTTGTTTTGTGTTTGTTTGTGCTGAGGATTGAAGTCAAGGCAGTGAGTGTGTCCGTGAGCTATATCTTTTGCCTTTTTAAAAACTTTTATTTTGAAACAGGATCTAAATTGCCCATGCTGGGCTTGAATTTGAGATCCTCCTGCCTCAGCCCTCTGAGTAGCTCCCCTACTCAGAGTGAGCACTCCCCAGGACAGGAATGCTCCCTCCTTTTGGAGCATCTCTCAAACCCTGCACTCACCCTTGACCTTGACCTCCACCGCATCGCTGCTGTCATCGATGCCATGCTGGACCTCACAGCGGTAGATACCGGAGTCGTTGGGCCGTAGTTCGCTCAGAACCAGCGACACATCCGTAAGCGAAGCGGGGTAGGCTGGCAGTGCCACTCGGAATCGGTAGGCCTCGCTCACCTTGACACGCAGCCCGCGTGCCACCAGCACCTCAGTCTCGCGACCACCGGCCAAGAAAGTCCACTTGACCCTCGGGGAGCCCGGTGCGGCGCGGCCCCGTGGCCGCAGGGCATGGACATAGCACGGGATGGTGAGGTCGCCGCCCAGCACGCCCTGCAGCGGCGCAGCGTGGGCCCCAGCGATGCGCACACGGAATGCGCGGTCCTCTGCAGGTGGGCGAGGAGGCAGGGACGCAGGAAGACTGCATTCCCTGCTTCATCGCCGTGGGCCCCAAGCCCGCCAGGATCCGAGTCTTCTAGGACTACCTAGGGCTTCCAGAATCCTCCCTCCGGCCTCTTGGGTCCTCCCCGGATTCTCAGGCCTACCCCAGGTCCTCCACAGCGCCTGGTCCTCCAGCTTGTCCTCCCAGTTGCCCAGGCTCTGGGCTCGGCTCTGAATCTCCTTTGGGTTCCTCCTCTCCTCAGCCCTGCGCCTACCTCATGGCCCGCCCCACCCACCGTGGCTTGCCCACTCACCCTGGCCTGCCCTATGCACCAGCCTAGTCCCGCGCCTCCGGCCTCGGGCTTTCCCTCCTCCTTGTCCACTCCCACGGGAGTACACCCAGGACACCTGACACTAGGTGGCGTTGCTTACCCGAGCTGTCGGTATCCAGGACGTCCGCTTCGAGGACCCGAGCCATGGCTAGGGCTGCCATCAGAGCCAGGAGCAGTGGTGCCATGCTGCAGGCTGGGGAGGAAAGACCAGACTGGGCTCCAGTGAGGACTTCCTTGCTCCCTGCCACACTGCATGAGCTCGCACCCATCAGGAAGGGTTTCTGATCCCTGTCTTCCCTGTCAAAGGATTCTTCCTCAAAGCTGAGACCTCCATCCTGTCAACTCACTGTGTGACCTAAGCAAGTTCTTTACCCTCTCTGGGCCTGTGTTTTTTTTTTCTTCCCCAGGGTCCTGAGGAAGCCAGAAGGGGCTGTTTACGACCCTGGATACAAGTTCACAAGTTGGGATGAGGTTATGTGTTTTGACAGTGCCTTATATCAAACAAAACCTTTACATATGCACAACATCAGGCACATGGTAGGTCAGCAGATGCTTATAGCGTGAATAGTGGGTGCTTTTATACAGTCGGATCCAATACCAGTGGGTTCCACATCCACGAATTCAAACGACTGCAGATCAAAATATTCAGAGAAAAATCATGTCTATTCTGAACATGTGCAGACTTTTCAGTTATTATTCTCTAAAGGGTATAACAACTATTTACATACCATTTACATTGTATTGAGTACAATTAGAATTCTAAGATGGTGACATATGCTTATAACCCCAGCACTCTCGGAGACCAAGGGAAGAAGACTGTAAGTTCAAGCTCAGCCTGGGAAACTTAACAGTTTAGTGAGAACCTATGTGGAAAGGAGGGGGGGGGGGAACCAGAGCAAAAGATGGCTGGGAATGTAACTCAGTGATAATGGTCTGGATTCAATCCTCAGTACAAAATACAAATTCAGAGATGGCTTAGAGCATACAAACATGGCACACAGGTTCTATGCAAATACTGCACCATTTTACATAAGGGATCTAAGCATCTGCAAGTTTTGGCATCCACTGGGGCTCCTAGGACCAAAGCCCCACAGATATGCAGGTGCAACTGAGAATTCCACCTGCTCTCCCAGTGTCAGGCACCTTCTTAGAATCCAGAGCCTTCCTCTCCTGTAGTCACCTGTCCAGCCCTCCTGCCTGTCTCTTTCTCTCTGGGCACCACACACACTGGGCTCCTCCGGAGGGATCCTAGACTGAAACCAGGCAACGCACAACTTGTCCCCAGCCCATTTTCTCCTTATTTCCTCCCAACACTGCTCATAAGGAAACTCTTCTCTTCGGGCCCATCCTCCTCACCCACTTCCCTGCACCCCCCTTCTTCCTCCAGCCATTCCTTTCTGCCTGGCACGGGCTTTCCCACCGGATCTCCTGGCTCTGAAACCAGTTGGGACAAAGCCCCTGTCTCTGCCAGGCTGGCCTTCATCCAGATGCTCCCTCCCCCATCCCACCTTTTGTAAAGGCCCTGAGCTTGGGGTGACCCCCCTGCCCCTGGCTATTAGAAGCTCTAGAACCCAGAACAGTCTGCCCAAGACCTCAAAGCACTTGTCCTTTTCATAAGAGAGGTGAGGTGACATTGAGAAATAGAGACTGATGTCCCCCTCCAAGAGGAACAAGGCTGACCCAAGCCCTGGGTCCCTAGCAAGACCAGATCAGCAGGCATCAGGCCAGTGTGCCCTCAGGATAGAAGAGTGCAGAGTTATTGCCAACATCGTCTTTAGAGTTAGAGGATGTGAGGGCAATCTGGCTGTGACATCTGTCACTGCACTGGTCATCAGGGTTGATTTGGCTGATCTAGCTGGCTAGATAGGTGTCCCCTCCCTGCCTCAATGCTCCATGTTCATCCCTGCCATAGTTACACACTTGATCAAAGAGGATGACCACCACGACAGAGGAGCATTGTTCCTCCATCAAGGGTATCGAGTAGGAGTAGCTGCACTCGCCTGCCAGAATCTCTAAACAAACTCTCAAAAGTTAGAGGAATATAGGGGCTGGGGATTTAGCTCAGCGGCATAAGCGCCTGCCTTGCAACCAGGCAGTCATGAGTTCGATCCCTGGTACCGGTAAAAATACAAAAAAAAAAAAAAAAAAGTTAGAGGAATATGGGGGTGCCAGCCTGCCACGGAAGAGGCCGGTGATACAGCAGGTTAGACTACAGACAGGACTTCCTACAGATCAAATTTTCTCCCACTGAGTACCCACTGGTACTCCAGGCTTGTTGTTCAACATCCATCTCCTACCCTATCAGACTGTTTCACATACGGCCCCCTTCCCTGAGCTAAAAATGATGGGGAGCCCTTCTCCTGGGTCCTCCTAAGTCAGCCTGTGCTGCCTCTTCCTCTACTTCCCTCCCTGCCCTAAGCATCATTTGGTTCAAGTCAGAGCTGCTGGGAGGAGTAGAGAGCCAATGCTTAGGGGATCACTCTGGTCTGAGAGGGAGAATGAGGGCCACATGAGAGGGTCCTGACACGCTAACACTAAGCACAAGCACTGGAGAAGACTGTTGTCAGCTGGCTGGTGCAGGGACACTTGGCAAGAGTAGCCAGTACCAGGAAGACTATTTGCCACCACGTATTGGAGGGGGGACATGGCCCAGTCTTGGTGCCACCGTGAAAGCTGGGGGCTGGAGCTCTTATTACCCTGGATCCCCAATAGGCAGCCCCGGAGCCTGTGAAACTGGCATCCCTCTGGGCCAGTACCCCACTTGCACCACCCTTTCACTTCTTCTCTGACAGCTGGTGACCAGTGAGGGCCTGACCACCCAGGGAACATGGAGGACATCACATGTCCCTCTAAGAGCAGGGGCCACTGACCACAGGGGACCAAGAGGAGCCCTAAGTGGCTCTTTCCTCTCCCCATAGTCCCGTGGAGCCTGAGTCCTTGCTGGCACAATGAGGGGTCCTGAGGAGATTCCCTGGCAGGGGGCACCTGGGGCTCCAGACCCTGGCCTGCCATGCCACACCTGGTCCATCTCCTCTCTTTCGTCCATCCAGAGCCTGTCCTGTAACCTCAGTGCCAAGCAGACATCCCTTCCCCTGCCCACACTTCCCTCTCTCCAACCCAGCATCTCGCTCCAGCCTCTGGATCCTTGCCTTTGCCTTGATCTCAGCATTTCAGGAACTTTCCTCTTGCTGTATTATCATTCCTGTCCATCTGCCTCACAGGCTTCTCAGACTGATCCCCAGACAATCAAGACCAGGTCACGTGTAAGTGTGCGTGTGTGCGCACATGCATGCCTTGTGTCTACCTTAACACCCATCAGCTCCATGCCCAGTACCCACCAGCCGCCAGTTCCAGGTCTGCTGTGCAGGACTTGAGCTCCAGGCTCAGCAGGGAGTTAGCCTGTGACAGGAGGGACCAACAAGAACTCACAGTCCCAGGGACGCCTTGGGCTGGCAGGAATAATTGCAATAATCCTATAAATAGTGCTATTTATTGGAAGCACAACTAATAATACTATGAGCAACAGCCCCAGCAGAGCTGTTCAGCCCCCCTCTGGTATAAAATCTGAACTGTGGACTATGGGCTTCTTAGCAGCCAGGCTAACCATAACACCACAGGCCTGGCACCACTGTGAGTGGGTCTATGGTGGGCACTGTTCCCTGATCCAGCTGGAGTCAGCTGAAATTTAAGTGATGCAGATAATAAGGGTGCAAAGAAAACCGGTGCCAATCTCTTGGCCTTTTTAGAACCATGTGAGCAGAGCTACTCTGATGGAAGGGGGTGTGGACTCCCCTGGGAGTAGCTTCCAGCCCTGTACAGCCTTGCACAGCCCAATTCCAACTGACCCTTCCGCTGAGAAAAACCACCAGTATGACTCCCTCTTACAGGATGGGGAGCTGAGACTCAAGGAGGTCTACCAACTAGCCCAAGGTCACACAGCAAGTAAGTGGCAGAGTCGAGGTTCCAGCTCTGGCCGGCATAGTTGCCCTCCGTGGCTCTTATAAAACGCATGCGGGCTGCGCGAGGTGTCCAGGAAAGGTCGCAGGCTGCTCTCTCTGCCACCGCCTTGCAGGAGGCAAGGTCGGAAATTCTCGCGGGCAGCTGCTAGATGACTGGAGCACGCAGTAGAGGAGACTAGAGGACCAAGGGGGCGTTCCCATTCCGCCGGGGCTGCAGTCTGGACCACGGGAAGCACCCGGGGTGGGGGCGCGAGTGCGTGCAGGAGTGCGCGAGGGTGCAACCGAGGCGGGCTGAGGAGGTTGCTGGGTGGTGGTCGCAGGGCCGGGCTCTCCCCTCCCGGTTCTTGCCGGGGACACTCACCTGCCCAGGGAACTCAGGGGGTGCGGGCGGAGCTGCGAAGTTTCCCGCTGCTCCGGGGGTCTCCTCCGGGATTCTCCTCTGGGTTCGAAGCTCTTCCCGGCCACTGCCGCGACTGCAGCGGAGACTGCGCGGGCACGAGGACCAGGCCGGCTGCAGGGCGCACGAAAGAGGGCGCCGGCCCGCCGGGCGCCGCACAAAACCCCTTTTCTTCCTCCGCCCCGCCTTGCCCTGCCCCTGCCTCCCCGCCCCCTGGCCCGGAACGCGGGGGGCTCGGGACGGTCACGGGACCGGCTGCCTTCTCTGCGTTGGTTCCTGGCGGCAGCGGAGAGGGCAAGGGCAAGCGAAGTAGGACATCCTTCCAGGGATGGGAAGCGAGGAGCTGGAGTGGGAAGGGAGGCAGCAAGGCCTGGAGCGAGCGCTGGAGAATGAGGTTGCGGTTGGAGGGATGGAAGTTAGACACCCGGAGGGACTTCCCATTGGTCACAGGGGAGGAGGAGGGTCTCGAACTTAATAAGGAAGAGGATGAAAGGCGGGCGGACCTAGGCTTTGCTTCTGGAAAGAGCTACGCACTGCCTACCCCCCGCCCCCATGCAAACAGCGAGCTCTGTTTTGGAGGCTTGGATGAGGTGCACACGACTGCAGCCACCTTCCTGGAGAACGCTCTGATTGGATTTTGTCTCCCGTGGTGGAGACTCCCTGCATGGAGGAGGAGCTGACTTTGCAGCTGGAGGGATGGAGGTTAGACCGCAGAATCATAGGTTAAGCAAAGAAAAGCAAGTGCTCTCTAGGGGAACTAGTGCGGTGACAGCGGTGAGAAGACATGCAAGCCAATGTGCAGAATGCAGGCGTTGCTGGGAGCCCAGAGAGCCTTCCAGCCAGGGCTGTGGCTGCTGAATGTGCAGCCTGGTGCCAGGGGTGGCCCCAGTGCTGCCCAGCTGACAGGGACTCCTCTGCATCCAGAATATCAATGACACCCGCCACCCCCAGCCCCAGCCCCATGGCCTCTGTTTTCCCAGGCTCTTTCTTTTTTTCTTCTCTCTTTTCCCCTCCCTCATGGGATTCTAGGCAAAGCCCTGGCATTAACTGTGGACAGGACAGCCAGATGTCTGGATTCACTCTTCTGGACACTAGCCATTGGCACCAGGGGTAATTATGGTGGGCTTTGATGCCCATACTTTCCAGCAGCATTTTCCAAAGACTGCAAGTACAGTGAGGTGCCTGGCATGCAAATGTACCCTAAAGGAGGCACCTGACCTTCATCTGGACAACACGGCAAGTCTCCTCTAGGAGTTCTGTTTTGCTCCTTGTTGGGCACCCCCCGCACACACACTGGGCAGTGGACTTGCTTCCCAAAGGCTTTGAGAAGGTGGCAAAAAAAAAAAAAAGTCCCAAGTCCTAGAGGCTTTAGTGGGATCTTCTACTCTAGGGACAGGACAGAAAGAAAGGGTGGGGTGAGATCCTTCAACAAGACAAATGGCCCAGATGGACATGCAAGGCTGAAGGGGACCGAGAAAGGACCTGGGAGAGCCAGGGATGCAGAGGCCTCACTTTACTCATTTCATTTGAAAACTGTTAACCGAATGCAAATTATGGATCAGACAATGTTTTAGGCTTTAAGATTGCTGACCCAAGTACCTTGCTGGAGAGAGGATCTCAGAAGACCCATGAGGACAAGTTTGGGCAGTCCTGGGGGACCCTAGCATCTTTTGCTTGTCTCACATCTTGCATCTTAGAGCTGAAAGAGGACAGTGTTGGCATGACTGTGTGTCCTGCTTGTTGCCCCACACGCCTGTGGGGCCAGCTTTACCGGGCTCCACAGGGCTTCAGGTGAGCCAGGATGATCCAGGCAATCGAGTGGCTGAATTTCAGTGGCTGAATTTGCTGGCACAGATGCAACCACAGTTCTTGCCTTGGGGAAGCCTGGCTGTGGCAAGAAAAATCAGGGAAATTGACCTTCCTGGCCACCTCCCCTTGTGACTTGAAGTGCGAACACACAATCTGAAATTCTGGGGGAGTGCAACCTTGACCAGGGCCAGTAGCATCTGGTTGAGGATGAACGCCAGACGGTCTGTTCCGAGGACATGCTCTTGCTGGGAAAGCAGCCATGGTGAGACAGGAGCTGCTGCCATGAACAAGACAACTCTGGAATCCCAGTGCGGAGGCCCAGCTTGAGTCACTGTCTGCAGTGGCTTATTTCCCCTGAAGCTGGCTTGTCTTCCATACAAGGGAGTGCCGGGGGTTGGTGGGGGGGGGGTGAGGGGACGCGCCGGCCCATGGTTTGCTGTTGGCCAAACCTGGTTCTTTTCCTTTGCTAGACATCCATATGTGGGCAGATAGACATCAGGTCTCCTGGTAGAAGACTGTGGACCACTCCTCTGGGAACGGATGAGGGCTCATCATTTGGGAGTAGTCCTTTCCTGAGAGATTCTCAAGGCAGAAGCACCTCCCCATGATTTCTCCCAAAACAGTTCCAGCTGGAAAAATTTGCACTGATTTCTAACCCGTCCTTTGAACTAGCAACAGCCCCCCAGGGACTTTCTTTACAATCACAGAGCCTTGTGTCTTTACCTGTAATTACAGAATTCTCCATTTCTGTTCACTGTATCATGGAAGATAAGAACAAGACCACTCTCTGGCAGTCACTCCAGATCTCAGAAAGGGACTCCAAGCACTGACAGAAAGCACACAGGACTAAGGGAAGCAGAAAGGATGAAAGCCAGACTTCATGCAGAACTGCTTGTCTCAGTAGCAGACGTTGAATGTCTTTGGGAAGCTCAGGTGTCTGCTGGACAAGGACACAGCCCTCAAGAGGTGATCTCAGGGGATGGAACTGGCAGAACTGTGAACATGTCTCTTGCCTTCTAGGCAGTTCTTCCAGGACATCTCTCCCACAGAAGAGAAAGATGAGGTCGAGGTGGGGGAATGCAGGCAGCTCTGCTCTCTTCCATGTGCATCCTACTGGCTGCCTCCCAGCCTCCTAGTCCCTGGGGATTTTCCGGTCTCTTTGGATGAGAACAATCAATCTCCTGCTTCCATCCATCCCCCATTTCTTCCCATGTAGGCTGAGGTCCAGACCCAGCTGATGCTTCCTCCCAGTCCTGCCTCCTCATCCTGCCTCCACGATAGACACAGGCAGTCCTCACGGACTCCCATCCACAACAGTCAGGGCAAGCCTGTGCTTTTTGACTCCTAGACATGCTCGTAGGTGGGTGTAACATGTCTCACAGTCACATGGGTCCTACACCATAGGGATACGGGACCTGTACTGAAGAGGAGGGTACACTGCTGGCACTGGCACAGTCATGTCCAGAGAGGGAGCTTTGACAGCTTGTGAATGGGCCAGGAAGCACAGGACCTCACCCCAGTCTTTGGGGAATGACAAAAATGTCTCTGACAGTGGCTGGGGTTGGGAAAATAGAGAGACAGGAAAATGGGGACAGACCTGCAGGCTGCATGACATTGTGAAAGAGCCTACTACATGAGCAGGATCTGTTGTCTCTCTGAGTCAGTCAGACCCTTGCAAAGGGAAGCAAGCCCACGTGTTCAGGGAATCCCAGTCTGCTCCACAAAACATAGGTGAAGGAACTGGAGGACTGGGCCCCAAACACGTGCATGCTACTTCTGAAGAAGAATCTGTCCCAGGAAAGATCCCTGCAGCCCTCTCCTTGCTTCTGTGGGGAAGGAGCACACATTTGCTCCTCAGCCGTACCAGGGTAAGTTCTTGTTTTACTTTTCTTATTGCTGAGACAAATATCTAACACCCAAAGCTAAAGAAGGAAAGACTTTGGCTCACAGTTTGTAGTGGTTTCAGTTTATAACTGACTCCAAGGCAAGGTGCCACTGCAGAGGGCATCATAGAGGAGAAACAGTTCATGGCAGGCAGAAGACAGGAGGGCAGCAAAGTCTAGAGGGAAGAAGCAGCAGCATGGCCTGCCTCTCCTTTTTATTCCTTCCAAGTCACCTGCCCTTTGGGTAGGGCCACACACATCCAAGGTGGGCCTTCCCATTATCTACATCCAGAACTATGCCAAACCAATCAGTAGACTAATTTAGTAATCACATACCCTTAATCCCAGCATCACATACCCTAGATCCAGCCACCTCTGAAAAGCCCCATCTGTGACCTGATGACGCCCTTTGGGGGACATCCAGACACAGGTCATCACATTGAGCCATGTGTGGTGATGCACGCCCATAATTCCAACACTTGGGAGGCTGAGGCAGGAGATCACAAGTTTGAGGCCAGCCTGGGCTATATGGTAAGATCCAGTCTCAAAAAACAAACAAAACAAAACACAAAACAGTCCTTATCTCTATGAGCTTCACTTTCCTCCGTGTAAAGTAGTGGGAGTAACTTGTTTCGATGTTGAAACTATGTGAATGTTTTATATAATTAAAGTACAAAATTCAATTGGAGAAGACTAAATTAAAAAAAGTGAAGCAATCCCTAAATCTAAAACAAATGTACCCTCTGATGTATAGGGTTGGAGCAAAACAATAAGAGTTTTCTTACAAGTGGTCGTAAAATTTAGCACTTTGAATATACTGTATATTCATATATATTTCCATATCTATATTCTATGTTTCTTTTCTTTTCTTTCTTTTTCTTTTTTTGGAAGCAGGATCTATGTCCAGGCTGTCCTTGAACGTGCAATCTTTCTGCCTCAGCCTTTTGAGTGAGGAGCTGAGATTACAGGTATGTACCACTGTGCTTGGTTGATTTATTTTTATAAGTCTTAATGTTGGCATTAATATCTTGAGTATTATTATAGAGTTCTATTAATCAATATCTAATAAGGTAAATAAGTAATTACAGTAATGGTGTTAGAATCAAGATTGTTAGTGTAAGAGAAGAAAAGTTAAGTAAAAATTGCTAATCTTTAGCCTGAATTGGAAATAATAGCATGCATTCATATATATAATATACACAAGTATATATATATAAAAATATACACAAGTGTATGTATATATAATATACACAAAGTGTATGTACTATAATATAGATGTTAGATGATTGATGATCTGCTACTAACAATGTTCAGAAACAGTGACTAGTCAACAACGTTAAATACCCTTTCTATCTAAATTGTGGTCCCAACTAGTATTTCTTACTAAAAGGGACAAAGACTCTTCAGAGAAATTCTAGGTCTGGGACAGGGTAGCTTGTCATGCGTGAGAACAAGGAAGTTGGGAAACTCAGAGTCATGTCAACTTGAGTAGTTGACAACTCAGTAGTCAACTTGAGAAAACTTTCATTGACTAAATGAAATAATTACAGAATAAACACGAATAATGATGTAAGATATGGAGACATTAAACATATTAAAAAGCCCACAATTTCATAATGATAATTTTAAAAATCACAGGTCACCTTTAGACATTGATAGGGCCCAGTAGCTGATTCTGCAAATCAGTAGGGTCCAGCAGATTCTACTGATGCTCCACATATTCCCTTCACACTCATCTCAACAAGCTAGAGACTGAGAGTGTCTTTCTGCTGGCAGAGGAGTGCCTGGTGTTACGGATCAAAAACTGGCAGTCAATTTAAAGCCAGCTGAATTAAATCATCATGGTGCTGAGCATAGATGGTCCACCTGAGGTAAGTTGCCAGCATAAATAGAGATGCGGAGTGACCAGTGAGGCGTTGTGGGTTCTCCTATGTGCTGCTGTTTGAGCTGTTGGTTTTCCTGGAGGAGCTTGTCATGACTAGCTTCCCCAGTGTGAGTTTGACCATTGGCATCAGAGGAGCTCAGGACCTTGTTGGTGAGAGTGGCTGTGGTTTACTTTGGGGAAACTCTGGTCCTTACATCAAGCATCGCTTCCTTGCTCTGGAGGGGAAGATGTTTGCTGCTTAATCTCTAGGAGAAACTTGTCACGCTCACTTTCTGGCAGAACTCTTCTGTTCTTATCATCAGAGGAGCTTGGGACCTCCGGGTTATTGAGGATGGCTGTGGTACTTTTCAGGACAGTCTTGGTCTTTATTATGAGTGTGACTTCTTGGCTCCAGTGTAGAACCCTCAATCTACCAGCATAGCTCCTTCATCCTGCTGGCATAAACTTGCTAGCTTCCACTGCTGACCTTTGGACCTTCCTAGCACACATCCATAAAACAGACTGGCAGAGTCCTTCTTGTGGGCTCTAGACCTCTAGTTGGACTTGTAGTAGGCATTGTCATGGGCTCTAGGTCTTCATCTGGACTCATGCAGGACATTGCTGTGGGACCCAGGCCCTATTTATATTCTGCGTCTCTAGTGTTCTGGACAAATTTCCTGCACTTTCTTTTGTTTAATTCTGGGTGACCACCATAAAATAATACTATAAATTCTGTGTCTTGATTCTAATTTTTCTGCTCACAAGCCCTCACTACAATACCTGGCCTCAGTGCACACAAGTGAGAGCACCCAACAGTCAGCTCCCCTTGCTGAAACTCACCCATGATAGAGGGCACCAGTCAGTTAATACCTCAGCCCAGTTACTTTCTGCAGGTTCTCTGCTGTCCCCCCCTTTCCTGCCAGTTTTGGGCCCCACTTGCCCACAGCCACAGCCTATTCAATTATGTGCCTTTTACTGACTTCCTTTCACTCTTTCACTGGCCATCAAGATCTGGAAATTTTCCAAGCCACCATGTCCTGAGGATACCCAGGCACAGAGCAAAACAAAGTGATGTGTTTGTGATGGGGCATGAGTGCATTCAGAGGACATGAACAAGCCATATTCACAAGTAGCCCAGATCCTATGTTATCTGGCTCCAGGGAACTGTATTAGCTACTTTTCTCTCCTTGATGAGACAAAAATACCCACGCCCAGATTTAAAGGAGAAAAGGTTTATTTTGCTCACAGTCCATATTTGGCTGGCTCCAAGGCAGACTGGCACATGGCAGAGGAGCATCACAGAGGAGAAACAGTTCATGATACCCACAAGGTAGCAAAAGCAACAAGGGAGAGATCTTGATAGCAACTTTCTGTCCCTTTTTCTGTAGCTAGTTACTGGGATTGGAGCAGTGCCAAACCAATCAGTGGAGTAATTTAGTAATCACATAGCCTTAATCCCAGCATTATACTATGAATCAGTCACACACTATAGATCCAGTCACCTCTGCAAAACCATACCTATGACCACATGAGGCTTTGGGGGACATCTAAACACAAGCGATAACAGATACCCATAGTTCTCTCTCAGATCACCCAGAATTCTTGGGGAGTTTCTATATGAGCAGAGAGGAAGTAGCCTAGGCCAGGTTATGGATGAGTCTGGTACCTGGATATGACTACATGTGGACTGTTGCTGTACCATAATCCCACCCATGGGGGCCTGGGAAGATAGGATGAGGGAAAATCCTTCTGGGGAGATCTTCTCTCTGTGACAGAGGTGATTTGGAAGTAAGGGGACTCTGGGGCAGTGCAGTGGCTTGGTGGCCTGTTAGAGGCCAGGAAAGCATAAGACAGAAATTTGAAAACAAAGGAGCCTGGGGCAAGGTCTATGGATGGATTTATAGGAAAAAGCACATGTATCTCATGTCTATTATGGAACCCTCGCTGCAGAAGAGGCATTGAACAGAGTGGGACAGAAGAACTCCAGCAGACAACAGCCATCCTTTGTCTTGCTCCGAGCCTGGGCTTGCATGATAGCCATGAGTAGAGTGATTGTGGCAGTTGATACGGGGACTCTGCAGACTCACCAGCATGGGCTTTCTCTTATCTGGCTCACCAAGCTACTACATGCTGGGCATGTGGTCTGTCAGCAGCAGAGACATGCTGGCTCCTCAACAAAGGAGACAAGCCACTTGGTCATCTGTTGGTTATAATGCACCTCTTTCAGTCTGGGGGGAAGTGCAACAGGTCCTCTCTGGGATTAGTGCATATTCTGATATGGATCTGCTGTCTCCGACCTAGTACTTTGGCCAGAATCTAGGGCACAAGGTAATGGCTTACTCTCATGAGATTTCTTATAGTTTATCACCTCCAAGCAAAATGATTCACTGCCCAATGAAAGAAAAGTGACTATGGGGATGTGAGACTGTGCTACATCACTGTGGATCTGACAGCTTGGTGGTACATTACAAGGGCTTCTTCACAGCACATTCAAAACCAGCTTGGGAGCAAGGTCCTCTGGGATTTTCTTGTCCTCCTTCAATGATCCGGCCCGCAGATCAATCCATGGGGTATACCTGGAGGGGGGACGGGGATGAATAAAACAGGGTGGGAGACAAAGAGAGATGGAGACAAGTTGAGGAGTCCAATCAAGTCTCGCTTATTCAGAAAATGGTTGCAGCTTTTATGGGCCAAGGGCAGGCTGGTGGGACAGGAAGAGGCTATGGGGTGGTTTCTGATAGGTCATCGTCACATCTGGATATGTGACGTAAGCAGGAGAAGATTATGGGTAATATAGGCAGGCGCATTATGTGCCCATAGGAGAGAGAGGTGGAGAGGCAGCAATGGGGCTGTCACGCCGCTCCCTACACTTCAAAACACAGAATATATTTTGAGTCAGTTAGCTCTTACACTGTGCTGTGTCCAAGATGGCTAGAAATCAAGGGTGCAGGAATAGAGGCATCACCATCTTGGTATCCCACTGGGAATTTGTGCTTCTAGTTCCTATTCACTTGGGCTCTGCAGAGCCCTGGTCCCTGGAGTGGTAGATGCAACAGCCAGAGATCATGGAGCCATTTTGTGCACTTCATGCCAACTGGCTGGTAGGCAAAGAAAAGAATTCTGTGACAGGGACACCCCATGTGCCTGCCCATGATAGCAATCATGGCCTGTCAGGAGCTTGGTAATGAAAGGAGTGAAATTGTCTATTAGGAAAGCTCCATAGAGCAACAGAAGGAGCCGAGGGGAGGGAAACGGTTACAGCCTATGAAACAATCACAGAATATTTACTGTGGTTTGATCCCGTTATAAAAACTTCTTTTAAGGAATTAGAACTTGCAGTCTGCTGCTACTTGGCTGCATCAGTGATACGATAAATTGAACTAACCTAAAGCACACAGGATTCAGGAAGTCCAAAGCGCTGTGACCCACACTCTTCAGCACTCACCCCTGCAGGGAGCAGGTGCATTGTGTCATCTGTGACTCTTACTGAGGGCTTTTTTTCTGGGTGTAGGGTGGCATGTTTGGGCTCAGAACAAGCCAGGAAGGCCTCATGGCACAACAGTAATGTGTCTGACTCCAGAACAAGCCAGGAATGCTGAAGAGTTAATGTCCTAGAGGATTCCTCCAGTAAGGGGAGTCGACAGATCATGCCCTGGTTTCTTTGCAGTCAGGTGGGTTTCTCTGGGTGGCTTCTACAGAGAGCAGAGATTCCCAGCAGGATTAGGCCGCCACTGTCCACCTGCTTTTTTCCCATACTCTCAATTGGCTTCCTTTATTTTCTGTTCTTTCCAGTCCTCTTCCAATGACTCTGAACATCACCTCCCAAATAAATCAAGCATCTTCAGATTCCTAAGAAGATCTACTTTTAGGGAGCCCTAAAACAAGTAGAAGCATTAATCCTACCATCTCTAAATGGGTTAAATGTCAGGGTAACATAAGAGTTGTTGAGGGCATTTTTTCTTTTGAGAAGGCTACTTGGACTTAAACCCAGGAAATCTCTACAACTGAGCTATGTTCCTAGCCCTTTATTTATTTATTTTTTTGACACAGTAGCTCATTAAATTGTCTAAGCTGGTCTCAAATTTGTGATCCTCCTGCCTCAGCCTCCCATGTAGCTGGGATTATAGGTGTGTGCCATTATACTCAGCTGGGAAATGTGTCTTTATAAATGATTATCGACCAATAAACAAAGCAGAAATGACAATGTTAAAAAAATCTCCATTTTTTTACTGAAATAATGGATCTAGACAATGACCATCAGTAGCCTTCAGATAAGGTGTTGATGGATATGGGGTCCAATGGTGGCCATGTTCTGCTCAATGAAACCCATGAATATTGCTGTATTTGGAAAAAGACATCTTCATACATATGTTTCATTAACATGTCCCTTAACTCCCACCATCCTGGGTTAACCAAGTGGGAAAAGTCCAAGGCAAGGTGTCCTCTTGAGAGATGAAGGGGGACACAGACACATGCAGAAGAGGAGGCAGAGTGGCCACAGAGGCAGAGATGGGACTGACACAGCAAGACAGCTAAGGTAGCCGAGGGTCCCGTAGTCACTGAGAGCTGGAAGGTGCAAGGGAGTGCTCTGTCTTGAAGCGCCTGAGCCTACTGACACCACAGTATTAGCCTTCTGCACTCCAGAACCAGAACCAGCCTTTTTATTTATTGTCTATATTTTTGAGACAAGCTCTCCTTATGTAGCAGAAGATGCCCCTCCCCCAGCCAGTATACTTCAGTTTGTTAGCTGCCCAGGTGATACTTCTGGTTATAGTTCTGTTACTTTTGTTTCTTACAATTCTTCTCCTAGAGGTATGAGCCAGGACTCACCTCTGGGTCTAACCACCAAGCATGCTCCTGCCACTCCTCGGCCACATAAAGCAGTTCAGGAGCCTGATAGAGTCACCCTGGCAAGATGCCTTCAACAATGTAGCCATCATCTTGTGGCTGTGGTTCCTGACCCTACACCCTTTGTGGACGGTTACCTCCAGATCCCACCTGGTTTACATGTCTAGTTTTAAGTAACATTTTAATACATTAGACTTTTTTTTTTTGGTACCTGGGATTGAACTCACAACCCCGTACTTGCCACACAGGCACTGTGCCACTGAGCTATATCCCCAGCTGCATGTCTAGTTTTAAAAGATGCTTTCCTCTGCTTGTGAGTTGCTCCCTTCAACTGGAAAATTCTGAGACAAGATGCAACTCATTTGGACTCGGTTGCCACAAAGGGTTAAAAGCTCTCCCACTATTTTCATGGAGGCTCTAAACACAGATTCAGCCAAGCCATCAGCACCTTTTCTCCAAGATGACCTGTTTCTCCGTCCCTCCTGCTTGCTGTCATGGTACCCTGACAAAAAATAATAGACTTTCGAATTGCTAAAATACACCTCTCCTGCCTGTAAAGCCAGCTCAAGGTCTCCAACCGCCAATGCCATCGTGATTGCCCTCCATATAGGTTTCCTCACTCTCCTGCCGCCCACAGCCTACTGATGCACCTGCCTGGGCCTAAAGAATGCCTTTTCTGCCTTCAGTTGGATCCTGTCAGCCAGTCCCTGTCTGCAACTGACCCGGAATCAATCTCCCAATGGTTCAAAAACTTGTCTCCTCCTTGAAAAAATACTTCTCATTAATGATACTCAAGCTGCCTGTTGAAAGACAGCTCTGCTATAATATCTGGTAGAAACTGGTTATAAAGAAAAAAACTGCAAGTTTCTTGAAGCTGCTGGCCTCTGTAGAATCTAGATCCTTGAGTTCACAAAAACAATGATGCTTACTCAGAATGTCAGCTCCTGGGAGCACCCAGTGGCCTACCTGTACAAATACTTAGATCTGATCACTTAGGGCTTCCACGCGTCCTTGCCACCATGCTCGTTAGCCACTGTCCTTCTCATCAAGAAAACTGACAATCTCACCTTAGGTTGAGAACTAACTGTCCAGGTGCCATATGCATCGGACCTCCTGAGCAATTGTAGACTACTACAGATGCTGAGTACACCCTGTTTACAGATGGAAGTAGCTCTGTTAGGAATAAAGTCCAGCAGGCTAGATATTTACCTTGGACAAAGTTATTTTGGCCAAAGCTCTCCTGCTACTGCTTCCTGCTGCTGTTCGGAAACCTGCCACCAACACCACCAAACCTGTACCTGTAAGCCCCCTCCAGATGTCCAACTGACTGAAACATCAACCCCAGGTGGAAAAACTTTATTTACCCAGTTCTCCCAGGAGATCAGAGCCAGACCTGCCCACACCATTTTTGCAAGCTCAAGCTGCAGCGCTGACACCCGCACCCCTGCAGCCAGCTCAAGCTTCAGCATCTGTGTCACTGGCCCTGATCTCATTCAATATAGTGGACTTTCCCCATTTGAAGATATATAGACAGATTACACAAAAGTAAAACCTTACAGGGGTTAAAAGTATCTGTTAATGCTCATTTGTAGTTACTTAGGTTGGCCTAAGACATTCTCTATCTGCACTGAAAAGGTAACAGTTTATAGGGTCCTGCCACTAGCTATACCTAACACTCCTACACACACATATAACCCAGGTTTATATTAATTACCTCTACAAGTTTCAGAAATCCAGCCTTAAATTCACTGGAGAATTTATCTGGACCAGACAACTGACTCTAAAGAGATGGTGCACTCAAAGGTCTGCTCTGGCCATTCTGGACACTGACCAGTCCATGCAGGGCTGAAGCCTGAGGATACCATTTATAGGATTGCTCCATATCTATTATCCTTAATTTTTGTGTCTTTTCAGGCTGCTTACACCAGTCCTTGCTTCCCTGCCCCCCACTAGCTGTGGTTTTTTGCCTTAGTTCTATGGATGATTGACCTTAGTTCTATGGATGAAGCCCTATGGATGATTGATCCATAGTTCTATGGATGAGAGAATAAAAAATAACCAGTAAGGCCCTCACAATTGATAAAGATTGGATGAGCATCCAAGGCGTGTTGGATACTCTCTTAGATCAGATTAACTCCTTCAATCCCTTGTCAGAGTCAACTTAGGGAGAAACCCTATAAGCGAAACAAACCACAAAGTTCTGGTGGGAAACTTTCAGTCTTGAGGGCCTTGGCTAGGGCCCATCCCAGGATCACTGAAAATCCTAATGTTACTGCTACTAGTTGGGCCCTGTCTCAGATGATCACATATAATTTGCCCGGCAAAGATTTGCTGTTGAAACTAAAAGAGGAAGAAAACATAGCAGAAGATGCCCTCACCCCAGCCAGTATACTTCAGTTCATTCGTTCCCCAGGTAATAGTTCTGGTTAAAGTTCTTGTTACTTTTGTAGTTACTGCAATGCATAGGTGGTCTTTATGATATATGTTGTAAGAGCCAGTCCCCAGTTGACAAGCCATCCTGCCTCTGTAGTTCCTGCTTGCTTATCCCATATAAGCCCTAGGCATCAGCGATCAGGGCCTGATATTTTGGGAATAATTCCATTCAGTGCCTGTCAACATAAAATAAATCTGCCTCCAAATCCTAGGTGTCATTTTCGTTTCTGTTTGCCATCGCACTTAAGTTGAACAGGCTGAGGTCAACTCATAACCCTCTTAGCTCAGCCTCCTGAATAGTGGGAATTAATGCTGTCCACCATCATGCCCAGATTTGACCCAGATTCTTTTTTCTTTTCTTTTTCCTTTTTTTTTTTTTGTTTTGTTTTGTTTGTTAAGACAAGGTCTTGCTGTGTAGTCCAGGCTGCCTTGAGTTCAACTATGTACACCAGGCTGGCCTCAAACTCACAATGATCCTCCTGCCTCAGCCTCTTGAGTGCTGGAATTACAAGTGTATGCCACCACAGCCAGCTTGACCCAGGTTTTTAAACTAACAAAAAGGCATAGAAAGAACAAATAAAATTGGTATAATGGGGCATGGCTGTACTCCCAGCTACTTGGGGGGCTGAGTCTGGAAAATCAAAAGTTCAAGGCCAGCCTGAGTAACTTAGTGACTGTTACATCTTGCCTCAAAATAACAACAACAACACAAAAAAAAAAAAAAAAAAAAAAAAAAAAAAAAACAACTATAAAAGGATGAGAAAGGTAGTTCAGTGCAAAGGCCCTAAATTCCCAGTTCCACAAAAAGCAAGCAGAGAAAGAAGGATTGAGAGACTAAGAGACAAAGGGAGGAGAGAAGAAAGACAGGTGAGATCGCCAGGGGTGAATGGGCAGGTGACACCAGTGTGTCCCAGGACATAACCTGCCCTCCCAGGAATTTGTGGCAGACCTCAAGCTTCTAATCCCATAGTTCCAGGTCTCCTACTTCCAAGTAGGATTGCTCTCTTCTGCCCCCTTCTGGTTGCATGGGGAGCTGGCGTGTTAGCTCTGGACAATGAGTTGTGGATCTAAGGAACTGGTGAGCTTCTGGGCAGAGCCTCCTGAGTTTGCTCCCCTTCTGCAGGGAGGAGAGAGTAACATGTGACAGTTGTTCTGACAGCATAGCCTAGCTGTCCCTGGCTAACACAGTCCTAACAGCCCTACAGGCTGCCCAGTAAAGTGCTGAATAACAGCAATTACTGTTTTTTAAAGGACAGTGTTATTTGGATTCATGCTTCAGTGGTCTCGTCTGTACACAGTTGGCTGGCTCTAAGCAGGATGGCACAACACAGGGACCTGGGGGAGGAGAGTTGCTCACTGCTTAGTTGCTCCTAAGCCTGGAAGGAAGTAGAGGGAGAAGACACAGGAGCTGGGGAGAGAGACAAAAACCTCAGTGACCCCACTTCCTCCAATCAGACTCCACCTCCCATCAGCAAGCCAGCTAAAACACCAGCATCAAACAATTATTATTGTTAAGATAGTGTCATTAAAATAATGATTTTAATTATAGGTAACACATATCAAGTGTCCCTAATGTTCTACCCAGTGCATGCAACATCTCCCTTAATTCTCAGGGGAAAAAAATGCAGGCCAAAAGGAGAAAACTGCAGCTTAGGAAACTCACAAATGTTCTGTCTGCTATGTGATGGTTACGGAAGATGCTGGTTATTCTGCCACACTCTGCTGCTCATATAATGTCACACAAGATGAACTGATTTTTTTAGCAAAATAATTTAACAATTATTTCCTGTTTGGAAAATAATTTTACCACATACACCCAGCATCATTAAAATATTTACATCCTTACCCCACTCATTACTGTTGGAGCCCACGTTCTTGTGGTGGTGTTAGATTGCCTAAAAAGTAAATACAGTTTGCGTAATGATGCTTTGGTAGAGTTCCTATTGCAGAGTGAACACATAGCTGGAGAAAAGACAACAGAAACAGAAACTCAGGGGGCAAAAAAGAACCCCTAGAAAATTCCCAGTGAAGACAGTGTGGTGGTGCACTCCTGTAATACCAGCAATCAGGAGGCTGAGGCAGGGGGATCACTGCAAGTTCGAGACCAGCCTGGTCTACAAAGTGAGCTAAGGCCAGCTTGAAATGCATAGCGAGACCCTGTCTCAAAAAGACGAAAAAAAAAAAAAAAAAAAAAAAAAAGAAAAGAAAAGAAAATTCACAGTGATTATTTAGCAAAAGTGGTTGCAGCTTCAACAAGTTCCTTAAAAGCATTTGAAAACATAGACCCCCAAAGCCAGAGGCCCTCATTAATAGAGAAGAGGTGTTTATGTGCATTATCTGCTTACAAGCAAAACCTATGCTGGAAAAAAAGAGGAAAAAACCCAAGTAAACAACTAAAGACATATTTCTGAAGTGTGACCTGCCCCCAGAAAAGCCTCAGCCAGTCCTTCAATAGGGATGCAGAAGAAAGCTAAGTCTGTGGTCATGGAGGTGATAGGTCCACACGTGTCACTTTGAAGCTATCCACTTGGCTGGGTTGTAGAGGTAAAAGACAAAGAGAATGATGCTACTGACCTTGTGTAGCCCCAGGTTAATGTGTTGTGTTTGCATCCTGATTTTTAACAAAAAAGATTTGAAAAGTAAAATAAAATTTAAATAGGAATAGAGCTTATATGAGTATAAAAACTACTTTTTTTTTCTTTTTTTCTTTTTCATTTTTATCGGTACTGGGGATCGAACTCACGGCCGCCTGCTTGCAAGGCAGGTGCTTATGCCACTGAGCTAAATCCCCAGCCCCTAAAAACTACTTTTGTATGGCTATCCATTTTTGTGTTTGAAGCTGTTATTACAAGAATCAAAATGTTTAAATTATCAAAAACTTATAAAGTAAAAATGTTACAGTAAATTGGGGTTATTACTAAAGGAAAATACTATTATCAATTCAGTGCAGGCTAAGTGTGGCCTGTGTAAAGTCCAAGGCATTCACAGAAATGTCCTGGGCTTCAAATTCACGCCCTAGCCCCTCACTGCCTCATCTGGGGAAGTCCAGTCAGGCAGTCACCACCACGGTACATGCATGCATCACGGCACCATCTCATAACGTATTTTAACTGTACCTTTTCTATGTTTGGATGAAGAAATACTGTTATGGCTTGAGTGTAGATGTCCCCCTAATGCCTCACACAGTCATAGATGGGGCTTCTTCAGAGGTGGCTGTATCTAGAGTGTGTGACTGATTCATGGTGTGATGGTAGGGTTACGGGTGTTAGGGGTAAGCATGGATGATTACTAAATCAGTCCACTGATTGGTTTGGTGCTGCCTTAATCATGGTAGCCTGGATACACTATAAGGGACAGAAAGAGTCTTGTCTTAGCCCTTGCTTGCTTGCTTTGCTATCTTCTGCCACCATGAACTGTTTCGCCTCTGGGATGGCTGTCTTCCATGCTTGTTCTGCCTTGCTGTCAGCAGATCATGGACTGAAACTTCAACAAGTTGTAAGCCAAATAAACCTTTTCTCCCTTTAACTTGTTGGTGTTGGGCATTTTGTCTCAAGAATAAGAAAATACCAGTATATTACAGTTGCTGACAGCACCCAGTAGAGTAGCACACTGTGTAGCTGGGTGGTCTAGGAGTGACAGACAGGCTGTACCATATAGCCTAGGTTTGGGGCCATCAAAATTTGTGGGAGTGCATATTATCATGTTCCATATCCAAGGAATCACCTAAGACCCATGTCTCAGAACATAAGCCCATTGCTAAGCCGTGCAAGACTCTATGTATATACACATATGAAAAATGAATGACATTAGGTTTGTCAGTCAGTCTGTCTGTCTATGTAATCTTGGCTGGCCTAAAGGTTTCTATCTTCTCCCCTCAGCCTCCCTAAGTGCTGGGATCATCACCATACCTGGCTTCCAATTTCTCTTTAGTTACTAATGTGTCTCCTTTAGTTACTAATGTGTCTCCTTCCTCCTGTGTTTAGAATGTCATTGGTCCAGCCCCCTTTTGCAATGGTGGCCACATGTTGTGTCTTCTCCTCCTCTGAGGTTAATTTTGCTTTAATTCTCCTGATTGACACGTTTTGAATTTTTGTTGTGGTTTTTTTCTTCTTTTTCTATCTTTGAAAAACATGGATTTGAAGAAAAAAATTTTTCGTTTTAACTGTAACAACCAGATGGCTTTCCTAGCTTTAATGGGGTTGCTGAAACTGATCCTGGGAGACTTGCAGGACACAAACACCTTTTTTTGAAACAGGGTTTCACTACGCAGTTCAAATTGACCGTGAACTCACTTTGTAGCCCAGGCTGGCCTCGAACTCAGCGATTCTCAGCCTCCGAGTGCTCAGATTATAGGCGTGTGCCACCACGCCCGGCCTACAAACACATTTTGAAATGGTTGAGCCCAGGCAGGAATGCGCCTAACAGATTTGAACTAGGGCAATCGTGAGTGTGCGGCGCCCCCGCGTGGCATCTGACGCAATGACAGCCTCAGTCGTCCCGCCTGGGTCCCTGGAACAGCAGTCCACTTCTCAGATTCTCCCTCCCTTGTCTATTGGTGTCCCGTGTCTTTGGCTGACCCACCCTACAGAGGCCACCTTTTCACCCTCCTCCCTTTTTCCCTCCGTTCCCCTCTCCTCCCCTCCCCTTCTCTTTCTCTAATCCTCCCACCTCTCGTCTTCTTGGGCGCGCTCTGCACTCTGGTGTCAGGGCCCTCACACATGTACACCCGCTCCGACCTTATCAGATACAGCAGGTGCCACGTCATTTTATTGCTGTGAATGCTCGGGGCGCCCCAGGACCCGCGGTCCACGAGCCACATCCGTACCATCGCGCGCGCGGGGGAGGGGTGCAGGTCCCTCCCTTCCCTCCCTCGCCGGGAAGCGCAGAACCCCGCTCCACTCCCCGGGGCGCCTATGTCCCTGTGTAGCAGTAGGTCCCATAGGCCGCCTGCTGGGGCCCGGGGAAACCGAAGCTGCGCACCCCGGGGTCCGGGAGGCCCCCACAGCGCGGCCGCGGCGTGGTGATGGGGAAGCGCACGCTGCCGTCCGCCAGCCAGCCGCCGTCGCACTGGTCCAGCCCCGAGAACTTCCAGGCGGCGTAGAGGTGGCCGACCTTGGCCACCACGGCCCCGCGCCGCCGGCACGCCGCGTGCGCCTCGGACAGCGTCAGCCGCCCGGGCACGAAGAACACCTGGCCTGGGGACCAGCGAGTCAGGATCGCGGGGGCCCTGGAGCTGGACGGGGGACGGTGGGGGACAGGCGGGGACAGGAGGGCAGGGGAGTCGACACCGGGGTGCAGGCGGGGCCGGGCCGACCGCGGGAACTCCCGCCCCTTCCCGCCCCGCGCTCACCGGCCAGCGCCGAGGTGAAGCAGAAGGCGTCGTAGCGGTCGCGCGCACGGTCTCGGGGCCCGTAGCTGCGGATGCCGGGCCGGCCGGGGCCGCCGCACGGGGCCCTGGCGGTGAGCACCGGGTAGCGCACCGAGCCCTCGAGCAGCCAGCCGGCGTTGCACCAGTCCAGCCCTTCGGTCCACGCTGCGGCCGGGAGGGGGCGCCAGAGCACGGTCAGAGCCGGCCGCGCGCGCCCGGACCCCAGACCGCCCGGCGCTCACCCTGGTAGAGCTGGCCGTAGGTGGCCAGGCGCCCGTCCTGTTCCTCGCACGCGCGTTTCGCCTCGAAGTAGTTGAACTGGTAGCGGCCCCGGCTGGGCTGATACGGAAACACCACACCTGCGGGCGAGAGAGCCGGGGGAGGGTCCGCGGCCGGTCCCGGCGGGGTCCGGGCGACGCCGGGCGGGAGGCCGAGGCAGGAGGGCGCGGAAGGCTCACCCTCCAGGCGCAGGGTCAGCGCCACGCTCTCGTCCTCCATCCCGTTGATGAGCTCGCAGCGGTAGCGACCCTCATCCTCCAGGTGCACGTCCGCCAGCACTAGGGAGGCGTCGAGCCGATGCCCCCGCCGCAGCCTGGCGCGACCTCCCAGGGGCCCGTAGCCCCTTGCATGCAGCCCGTTGGTGATGAGGATCGGCGTTTCGCGGAGCTCCCCCGGTTCTATTTTGCTCCAACGCACCTTGTAGCTGGGAGGCGAGGCGCCCAGGACGCAAGGCAGTGTGGCCGTAGCCCCACGTCGAGAGTGAATGACCTCGTGGATGGGAGGCAGGAGGTAGTGGGGGCTGGGGTGGGGTGCTGAGCAGAGGGGGCCACAGTGGCAGGGACTCCCTGGCCCTAGCTGCCCTGTGCCCACCCAGATCCTGCCCCGAGAGGCGGTCCGGCCCACCCCTTTACTCACTCTGCGCAGACTCTGTGCCCTGGGTACCGCCACGGTTGCCCTTAGCACCGCCCACCCGGAGCCTCTGCCCGCGTGCTCCATGTGCTGGGCTGGCCTGGGCCTTACCTGAGTCCCCCAGCGCTCTGTGGGAGATGGTGAGCAACCAGGGGAGAAGGAAGGGGCAAAGATCGTACAGGGTGAGCCGGCCTGGCATGGTGGCATCTGCCAGCAGGGGCTGTGGGCACAGAAGGCGGTGTGCTTAGGACTAAGAAGAAGGGGCAAAAGAGCAGGCAGTGAAGTAACTTCGTTGGGAATTCCTGGAGGGAACCGGCCAGTGGGAAACCACGGGGTGACAAGAAGGTAACGGTGGGGAGGCAGCAACAACCCTACTCCCCCAGATCTGAGGCCCGCACCCCCAGCTCTGCAGATCCTGATTTAGCAACTTCTCTCCCTATAGGCTCTCAGCCAAGGCGCTGTTTCCCAAGCATGCCATCGACTGAGTTTGCCAGCTCTAGTCTCTGTCATCTCCTAAAGCCCATTCTCCAGAGTGAATATGATCTTGTTACTCTTTGCTTGGAACAGTGGCTTCCCAAGGCCCTGAGGGTCAAGTTCGATCCCCATACAATTTCCAAGACTCATCAATGATCCAGATCCGCCTGCACCTCTAACATCATCCCCTTGATGCCCTTCACCTCACCCTGTGCCCTAGGATCCAGACAAGATACACTCCCAGAAATGTCCCAAACAGCGCAGGGTCAAGCTCACCTCTGTGCACAGGTGTGGACTTGGGTATCACCTTCTCTAAGAAACCTTGCTTACACTGCAGCTGGTCACACTGGGGTGCACTGTGGTCTACTGGATTGCACCAGGGACCTTTCTTTTGAAGCCCTGTGTGCATGTGTATGCGTGTGTGCAGATGTGTGTGTGTGTGTGTGTGTGTGTGTGTGACTTGGAATTCAGCCAGGTCCTTCACACTAAGCTACATTCCCATCCTTTTTTTTATTTTTTATTTTGAGATATGATCTTGCTAAATTCCCCAGGCTGGGGTGAACCCTCCTGCCTTAGCCTTAAGAGTGCTGGGATTCCAGGCAGGCATGGCCACCACACCCAGAAAAAGTACTTTTATCAGCACCTCAACTAATAGTGTGATTTAAAGTAATACATATGACATGTGAAATACGAGGCTTTTCAAAACTTTAAAGTAGAAAATTATAAAATTATTTTAACTATAACTGTCTCTTTTGGCAGTGTACTGTTATCCTTCTTTATCATCTCTATTCTTTTTTACTGTACTGAGGATTGAACCCAGAGGCACTCCACTATTGAATTACATCCCAAGCCTTTTTTATTTTTTATTTTGAGACGGTCTTACTAAGTTGCCCAGGCTGGTTTCAAGCTTGTGATCTGTCTGCCTCAGCCTCCCAAGTAACTGGGATTTACTGGTGTGCACAACCAGACCCAGTGATTGGATCTATTCATAGCACTTTGATTTTTATTTTTTATTTGGACTGAGAACCCCTTGACCTCGTTTTATTAATTTTCTAAACCTGGCCCATCCACATCCTAATGCATGACTTTGAACAAGTTACTTAACCTCTCTCTGCCTCAGTGTCTGCATCATCACTGGATAATAATGACTCCTCCCTCCTTGAGTAATTTCAAGGATTAGATGAATTCATAACATCTATGTCAAAGGCTTAAAATAGTGCCTGATGTGTGTGGTGCTCTGTATGTGGTAGCTACTATCCCCAGTCCTAGCATCATTTCTAGCACAGAGTAAAAACGGATAGGTGAGTGTTTTAATGAATGAATTAACTTTAAGGATTTCTGGGGAGAAAATCTGGGTACAAGGAGAGAGAGGAGACTCTGGAGAGTGACCAGAACCCAGGCATTGTGCTATATACCTGTAATCCCAGAACTCTGGGAGGCTGAGCCAGGAGGATGGTAAATTCAAGCCCAGCCTGGGCAACTTAGTGAGATCCTGTCTTGAAATTAAATAAATTAAAAACCCTGGGCATGTAGCTCCATGTAAAAGTTCTGGGATCAATCTCCGTACCCCAAGGTGTAGGGGATACCTGGAAATCTAATGAGCCAAGCCCCAACTTCCTGAAGATGCAAGCCAAGCAAGCTTGCAGCAGGAGGAACATCGTTAGGCATACTAAGAACTTCCTGGTGGTTAAGAGAGACAGAAAATGAGTCAAAGAACCACTTGTCCTTTACAGGAAAACCTAGTAAGTAAGAGTGACTGCAGGGACTGAAATGGGTTTGGAACTATCTCTAAAGACAACTAGCATGAACACATGTGAAAACTACTATCCCTGACATGCCTGTAAGCACTTCACCTGTGGATTTCTATATTTACTTCTCCTGGCAATGCTGTGAGGTAGGAACTAATAAGTGTCATGGGACACATACTAAAACAAAGGTGCATATGATGCTGGGTGCAGTGGTGCATGCCTGTAATTTCAGCTCTTGGGAGGAGAAGCAGGAGGATTGCTGCAAGTTTGAGGCCAGTGTGGGCTAGAGAGTGAGTTCAAGACCAGATTGAACTGCAGAGCGAATCCCGGTCTCAGAAAACAACAGCAATCAAAAACTGGTGTACATTTTGAGGAAATTAGTGCATATCATATGACTGGTAGGATTTGGATCTGTATCTGATAGCTTAAGCTCCTCCCCTGCCCCACCTGTCTTTGGGCTGGGGGACTAAACCAGGGCCTTCCTAACAAGCTTCAGCCCCTGCCTTTTTTTTTTTTTTTTTTTTTTTTTTTTGTCTTTTTCGTTTTTATCGGTACCAGGGATCGAACTCACGACTGCCTGCTTGCAAGGCAGGCGCTTATGCCGCTAAGCTAAATCCTTAGCCCCTCCCTGCCTTTTCTTTATTTTTTATTTTGAGACAGGGTCTTGCTAAGTTGCTATGCTGCCCAGACAGGGCCTGAACTTGCAGCCCTCCTGCCCGAGCCTCCCAGAGTACCAGAGTGCCGGGATTACCAGCCTGCACCATTGTACCAACTAGGCTTTCAACTACTGATCTATATTTCAGTATTTCAAGGCAGGTGCCACATCATCCTCATTCCCCTTGCAGAAAATGACACCGTAGCCAGCAGCCCTGTGGCCTACCTGTTAGAAGTCTCTGCCCGGAGGTGAAAGAAGCAATGGGTAGCAGCCTCCTGTCCTGCGTAAGGGAAGGGAAGCTTCTGGGTGAAAGTGTTGTCCAGGCTCCTGGAAGGTTCAAGCACTTTACAGTCCAGGGTCTTGAGCACCTAGGTGACCCACGTGGTGGCTCCTTTTACACCTTTGAGGCAAGCCTTCTCTCCTGCGCTCAAAGAAGAAGCCAAGGTGCCGAGAGCTACCCAACTTGCCAGTCCACTGAGCCAGGGTAATGGACCTTGTCCAGCCCTGTGGCTTTATCTGTGGAGCCCCCTGTCCTGGGACCAGGGAAGGATACCGAGCCTGGGCTGAGGGCGAGAACCCATGGCAGGTCGAGTGAAGACAGCAATGTGGAAGGCACAGAAAGCAGGTGCTTTAGGTGCTGCCAGACGCTGGTGAACCAGAAGAGGTGGGGACCAACATGGGTGGCAAGAACTCTGACCATGGCTCAGAGACCCACAGCCTCCCTGGCACTTCCACATGGGCCTCCTGCAAGCAGCAGCTGACCTTCCGCAGCAGTGTCCTCACCTCTGCCCCCGATGCCTGCGTGTGCATTGCCTTTGAGAAGAAGCTGTCAAGGTGGAGAGTGATTTCCAGCTGCTTCTCGGAACCTGATTCCCTCTCTCCAGCCCCCTGTCTGCACATCCGTCTGTCCTTTACTTCTCTGTCCCCACCCCATCGGAAGCACAATTTCCCTTTGTCTCTATCTTTTCCCTATTGTTGAATAACAGGGCTCCTTTCTTTATCCCGTGGGTAATGGCAACGAAATGTCAACAGCTGGGGATGTGGGATGCAGGACAGGCTGGCACATACCACCGGAAAAGGCCTGTGCAGGGTGGGCAGGGTGGCTTCTAAAGGACAGACATCAGGGAGAAGGGAAGGGGTGAGGGCGGGATGGGGGACAGTTGAAACACACCCTCAGGTCTCCCCACTGTAAGAATCTAAGGAGGTTTTGCCTGAGTCCAGGGGAACAGCCAGGCCTTGGAGGGTGAGGGGGTGGCTAGGGTTGCAGGAGAAAAGATGGCAGTTAGTGAGAGGGACTTCTGTCTCCCTAGGAAGGGACCTGGGGGTCCCTGGGGATGGAGGCTCTCTAAATGAAGACCAGTTTATGTGTCCTCTATTGTCCTTCCTCTTCTTTCAGATCAGATGCATAATCTTAGTTCAGTGTTTTCAGGAGAAAGAGTAAGGCGAATCATTAATCTCCCTAATCCTTAATTCTCTAGATAAATTCAATTTCTCTAAAGTCTCTCCTGTTAGGAACTCTAAATACCTACTGGGATCCAAATCTATTATTAAAACCTTTCTACTGAGGTATAATTTGCATACAAAAAAGTGCACAGGCTGGCCCTAGTGGCGCATGCCTGTAATTCCAGCTACTTGAGAGGCTGAGGCAGGAGGATTGCAAATTTGAGGTCAGTTTAGGCAGTCTATCAAGAACCTGCCCCAAAAGGGTGGTGAAGCACCCATAGGTTAAAACCTCCGCACTGAAAAACTGAAAGAAGATAGAAAGATGCAGAGTTTAAGTTACAGCTCCATGATTTTTTTTTTTTTTTTTTTTGAAACAGGGTCTTGTTATGTAGTCCAGGCTGGCCTTAAACTCTGTGTAGCCAAAGGTGGCTGCAAACTCATGATGATTCTCCTCCCTCAACCTCCCTAGTGCTAGGATTATAGGCATGCACCACCACACCCAGCTTCTCTCTCTCTCTCTCCCCTCCCTCTCCCCTTTCCTCCTCCCCCTCTCTTCTTCCTCTCCACTCCCTGCCCCCTCCTCTTCTCCCTCCCCCCTTCCTCCTTTTTTTGAGGCAGAGTCTTACTATGTGATTGAGGCTGGCCTTGAACTCACCATGTAGCCCAGACTGGACTCAAATTTGCTGTGATCCTGCTGCCTCAGCCTTTCAGGTGCTGGGGTTATAAGTGTGCACCACCACACCTAGTCGACCTTGATGAATTTCTACTTCCTAGGTAAATAGCATGTATACATGTACCTCCCCAGGTCTACTGTCAGGGGATAGTACATTCCTAATGATCCAGAGTAAACCCAATTGTTTTTTGTTACCAATGCAGAAAGACTCTAGTATACTACCTGCCCCATAAGTAACCATTTAGAAATAGAGGATTTTCGTTTGTTTCATTTTGTTTTTACAGAGGTATAGTATAATGAACCCAGGGTCTTTCACTGGGTTTTATCCCCAATGCTTTTTCATTTTCTCAAAACAGGATCTCTCTAAATCACTAAATTGCCTAGTCCGAGGTCAAATTGTGATCCTCCTGCCTCAGCCTCCTGGAGTGCTGAGATTACAGGCCTGTACCACCACACCTAGCTAGTTAAGAGTTTTAAATAGCTTTTTAGCCTCCTTTTTCACTGCTCCCAGATTAGTAGCTTTGAGTCTATAGAATCTATACTTTGGATGGGTCTGAGTTTGATGAACTTCCTCAGTCACCAAATGAAGAAGAGGAGGTGGAAAAGAGGAAATGTGCCCCCAATCATAGCCAGTAGAGCTGCTGCACCCTCACTCTTCCCTTGTGAATCTTTCTGCCTTTCTGGTAATCCCTCCTCTGCTCAGATGCTAGGATTATAGGTGCACTTGGACCAGGCCTAGCAATGGGAGGTGGAGGGTGGGGGTTGCCTGCAAGTGCTCTTCAGGGTCTGATTGGCCATCTTCTGCCCCTGCAGCCTGTCCCTAGCCCTTCCCTCCTCCTTCCAGAGCTGTCATTAGAGAAGACAAATAGCCCCTGTCTCCTCAGTGGGGACACTCTGATCCTGCACATCTGATTGGCTTCCTCCCAACTCAAACAGAGAGAGGGAGGGGAGGAGAAAAGAGTATAAAGGGCTTTACAGCCTCACAGCCTGGGACCCTGCCTCTTCTCCTCAAGGTCCTTCTAACTGTAATATGGAAAACTCTGGTGTGTGAATCCCTAAGGCCTAAGGCAGGAGGATCACAAGTTTGAACTCTGCCTGGGGAACTTAGTGAGGACCCTGTCTTGAAAGGGGGAAGGGGGACTTTGATGGGGGTAGAGGGGGTGGGATTGAGCTATTTGACAGAAGTGAAATGACCTCCTTGAAGAGGTCACTGGGAAAGGGATGGGCAAGAAGAAATGTGTAGTGAACAAGCAAGCCCCACTAGCTCCAGGTCACCTCAGGCTAGTGTCTCCCAAAGCCCCTGGGCAACAGGAACTGGCATCTTGCCAGTGCTGGGACCGACACTGACCAGGGTGCGGTAGGATAAACAAGCACAGAGCCTCAAACCTCTTTCTCTGACACCCTGGACTCAGCCTCTCCTCTGGGCAGACCTGGCCAGGCATGCCCTTACCCAGGCCCAGGCTGGAGGCAGACTTAATTTGCTGCTAGGCCAAACCTGGATGGCTGGTGTTCCAAGATGGCAGATTGGGGGTTGCAAGGAGGGGCTGCATGTGACACATAGGGCTTCCTGCTTTTCCTGGTCACTCACATTCGCAGCTGCTGCCACTGCTTCAGAAAGTGGCAAGGATGCTGGGATAAGTTCAAAGTGAGAGGGTGTTTTAAGTGGATTAATGGCAATGTGTCTTTTATTGTAATGAATTGGGGGGGTACCAGGGATCGAACTCATGACCTCATGCTTGCCAGGCAGGTGCTTATGCTGCTGAACTAAATCCCCGGCCCTTGTAATGAATTTTTTTAAAAAAGTAAATATTCACTATATATTTTAATTGCCTCATTTATGTTCAAGTGGATTTTTTTTTTTTTTAAGACAGGGCCATGAGACCAAGGCCAGCCTGGGCTGTCAACCTAGGGAGCTCAAGGCTGGCAAAGGGAGCAAAAACAAGACCCTATCTCAAAACATGGAAAGAAACCCCAAAACTATTTTTGCTCAGCTAACCCTGCAAGGACACTGAAGTCTTGATTCCTCATTCTCTGGACCACAAAGCTTTCTCTTTCATCTTCCTACTTGTCTGATTCTGGCCAGTCTGAGTTGGGGGACTTCACTTTGCATGCATCCACTCCCGGTCTCATACTGGGCAAATTTAAACCCTGAAGCAACAGGATCTTCAAGTATTAGTCACCCATTCTCTAGCCAGGGTTCAAATCATTGTTACAAAATAAGACCCATTTTATAGCTTTACATTTTTTCACATGGGAGAAGTAACTGTTATACAGCATTACCATTTCCACTTTGTGGATGAGGAAATTGATGCCTAGTGAGGGTTAATAATAATGATAACTTGTTCAAAGCATGCAGTTCCTAAGGAATCTACATAGATTATCTTTAAAACTGCATGAATCTTTTCTTGCCACAAAAGAATAATTACTCCAGAACCAGGCGATGTAGTGGATACCTGTAACCCCAACATTCTCTGTGAGCTAGAGGGCAGACTGAACTACATAGTGAGTTCAAGGCCAGCCTGGAATATATAGCAATATATATTCCAGGAATATATACCTTGTCTCAAAAACAAAACAAAGCAAAACAGAACATTCTATATGCATGCAAGTCACGTTCCACTTAATTACTTTTATATATTATAAAAGCAAAAGTAATACATGCACATAATAAAATAGTTCAACCACTATCACTAGAATGAAATTCAGAATAAAATTCTTCCTTTCTCTCATCTTCCTCAGGAACAAACTTTTCTTTCTTTCTTTTTTTTTTTTTTTTTTTGTTGTTGTTGTATTGGGTATTGAACCTCAGAGGGGCTGCACCACTGAGCTACACCCCACCAGCAGGAGCAGCCCTTTTTATTTTCTTAGGCGTGGTCAGCCACTGGTCTACCATGGAGCCACATGCCCTAGACTAATCCAAGCATTGTTAAGCTTCTTCTGTATCTGTCCAGAGAAATATTTAGGAATCCACAAGAAGCAGATAAATAAAAACACACAGCTGTCCTGTGCTCTGACCATACTAAACTGCTGTAGACACTGTTCTCTGCTTCTTTTTGCCACCTAAAATGTGAGCATCTCTCCTATCAGCGTATGCTATACAGCTCCTTTCTTTTTCCCATCTGCATAGGATTAGAGTGGATGGCCATAGCATGGCTTATGTAATGAAACACCTATTAATGCACAGTTAGGTTCCTCAGGTTGGAAGAATGAGCCAAATAACAAAACTATAACTCCTGCCTGAAACTGTAATAAATCCAGAAGCTCAAAGGTTTAAATGTAAAATATAAGGCCATCAAGATGCCAGACTAAGTCACAGAATAATAATTATTTAAATTGGAAGGCAACTTTAACATCTTTTTTCTTTCTTTAGCTTGTTGAGACCGGGTCTTACTACATAACCCAGGCTGGCTGTGAACTTGCTGTGATCCTCTTGCCCAGCTTCCCGGCGGGCAGGGATTACAGGGCTCTCGACCGCTCAGCTGTAACTGCCTTTTTTACTGATTATACAATTATATACCTCACATGTGTGTGTGTGTGTGTGTGTGTGTGTGTGTGTGTGTGTGTTGCATTCTGCTGCTGAGTCACATCCCAGCCCCTATGCTTAACGGTGGACAATTTAATAAACATAAAAACATTAAAAGTGAAAACACCCTGAATACTAGCACACAGAGAAAAATGCCCTTTGATAATATGTACTTTGCTGCCTAAGCTTCCAATCTTTCAAGGTGTTTCTCTTTATTTATTTTTTTTAAGGAAAGACTAAACAAAACAGAAAAAGGGTAGAAATAATACATACTTTCAAAGAAAAAATAAACAGTAAGAAATCACTAGTTGATGAT